GTCTCGAAGACACCCTGAGACAGGATAACCTCTCGGCTCGCATAGACACTAATTTCGGTGCCAAATTCTTGGCTGGTCACAGTGACACCAGAGCAGATCTTTGTAGCAGAATTGATAATCAAGCGCTTTGACTGAACTCCGTAAAGAATCATCACGTTGGGCTTGTTTTTCAAATATAGAAAGCTACCCTGGCGCTGGCCCTGATAGATGGTATCCATACAGTGTGTGAGGCCTTTCATTTCGCCCGAGTAGATATCTTCGGTAAGAGGCTGACCCTTAGAGACCCACGCTTGAGTGAGGGCATCGCGAAAGGGCTTCATCTCTGGGACCAATTCCGCATGAGAAATATGCACAGGGCCTCCAGATCCAACCTTGGTCAACTCGGTAGGATAGAGTTTTTCATCGTCGTGATACGTTGCACACTTGCGCAGATAGTCCACGCAGCTGTTCCATGTCCAGTCGGGGCCACCAAAAGCTTCCCAGTCGTCAAACGTGGGCTTTGATCCAGGAATCCAGGTAAAGTAATTGGCGCAAGAGCTGCCACCAAGTGCTTTTCCACGGGTGTTGGGCTTTTCCACGCGCTCGTAGTCATCGCGTTTGATCATCGTGGTTTTGTAGGCCCAGTCGTATTTACTTCCGCGCAAGTTGAAAGCCTTAGCAGGAGTAGTGATTTCGTCAATCTGGTCCGGGTTGGGAATACCGGCTTCAACAACCAAAATTCGAACGTTTGGATTTTCGGCCAGACGGCCAGCAACAGCATTCCCCGCCGTGCCGCCGCCCACGACGATGAAGTCGTACTCAGAGCCGTTTGAAACAAATGCCATTGCTTAAAGGCGGATTGATTTATGGAGATAGGTGAAAAACAGAGATTGATGAGACAGCTGGCTTGTTTTATATCCATTTCGCAGACTTGAGATAAATCTCTGCGCCGTTGAAAAGGCCGAGTCTGTGTTGCTGCCGGTATCCGAGATGACATCCTGTCGCCGAGTCAAGACCGCCCGGGTGCTGTGAATATTGGTAGTATCTTTGCGGTGCGTTTGTTTTGGATGCTTCCGGTGGACGCCACAGTGCAGGCTGCTTATTCTTACCCCTCATGAGGAGAAGTAAAGAACCATTTCCCCTCACTGCTGATATTGGGCCAATCAGGGAATTCCCTCTTCATTGTATTTACCAACACTAAGCTTGGAATTAGAATGAACCCATGAACGCTTTTAGCGCTAGCCGAGTCAGCCCTATAATTTTCAAATTAACTATTGTTGCTGGGCCTGCTATGAAATCGCCATCGCTCTCAAAACTACTCTAAGCGCAAGGAATGGTAAGGGTACTACTTTCAATCTTCCGGCATGTTCCTTCATGGTTGTTTTGGTTTTATTTGCCTTGATTTATCTTCAAGTCCCAGTTCATCCTTATGCGGACAAGTTCTTATCTGCTTTAGCGACGACGCCTTCGAAAGCAATTCTAAGATCCCTTGGCGTGAGGAATGTATCAGTTCACCGCTATTTTTAGTGGTCAGCCGGATAAATTCGTTAAGATCTCTATTGAAACAGCTTTTGAATGTAACATCTACTCTCCGACCTAAGGTAATGGAAATCCCCATGTCATTGTGGGGTTTGGCATCCAGAAATATGTCACTATAGATATCGACAAAGTCAAATCCCTGCCTTTGTACCACAAGGCTCGCGGAGTATTCTCGGTGGTAGATCGGCATTGCGCCCAGCTCTCCCAGGAATTGTTATGAGCCAGTCTGGCCGGCCCGAGAACCAAACATCTGGCCCAAATGACGAACATGAAATATACGTCTGACAGACTCAAGATGCAGACTAACTTTTTGCCTAGAACTGTCCCCAGTGCCTTTTTCGGCCTTTGCTGACATCATGATGTTTCCCAATATCCATACGTTAAGTTTCGGAACTCGGCATTGTTGAGATTGAGCATCCTAGGTACCTACGTTCTAGTCATCTTATCAATTTTTCCCCTCACTATTTCCCCCCCACATTCCCCCCTCATTGAGCTCCCGAAAATAAATGTATCAACAGCTCGGAGATTCATCGGATAGCGGGAATTCCTGTCGTTCGTGTTAAGAAGTCATGACATGAAAAAGATTTTTCATATCGGACTCTCGGTTTCTAAACCATCTTACGTGAGCTCCCGATAAGCCACAATTTTAGGCTCAGATCTATACTATAAGTCCCGCCCTGTTTATTTATAGCGGTTGGGCGTACATGCATATACGAGAATAGACTTTCATTGGGACATTGATTTCATTTAGCCGTAGGTGTGTTCCGGGAAGATATGGTTATAAGGGCTGCTACTATGAGCATCGGCTTTCACTCGTCTTGAAAATTGCCATTGTGTGATAGATAAAGCACTAGAAGCTTGAGATTCATTCATAGCCATGGTGGACACTGATTTCTGACATCTTTTTTTTCGATGGAGTTGGAAGAAGCGCCCATTTCAAAGCAGTATCATTGGGGACTCACCTAGCAGAATTGTATTGCGAGCAATGAATACTCGTGATCTAGTAAAAGGATTTTCTAAGAATTACACCATTGAGAATCCATTCCATGATTGCAATCATATTTTTTCAACTAATACTACTAGGTAGTAACTAGTAGGTACTAGGTGTTACACTGCTGGGTAGAAGTCATATAAATATCTATCGCAACGTGTTTTACCCTTAGCCTTTCACCATTGCAACGTGTTTTGCCCTTAGTCTTTTGGGATTCCAACGCGTTTTTCCTTGGCCTTTTGGCATTGTAACACATTTTGTGTCCTGATTACTAGTAGTGGTAGTTTGTGGTGACCGATTTGCGTAGTGGTGCTGTAGATACTAACACGGCACTGCCTCCATAGAATTTTTAGCTATAGAGTTTTTTATTAGACAAGTATATGATAGTATTGAAGATCCCCGTTCTCTAGGTAGGATATTATGTAGAACATACTAGTGCCAACAGGATGTTCAACCTCCAAAGCTTCAAGTTCAATGTTTTTGGCATAAAACCGGGCCATCTTCTCCCCATCGCTCAATTCGAGTCACTGGGTCCCCTAAACTAGCGGACAATTTGGAAATGAATCCACCGTTTTAATCCATAATCAAATTGACCGTCTTTTAGAGTTCTGGAAATCATGCGCATTCCATTCCTTATAATCGAGAGAAACCATAGTATCCCAATGTGCTTTTAAATTCTTGTGGTACCCTATGTCAACTTGTTGTGCCAGTAAGTCAGTGATCCATACCTCCAGGCTCAAAAGTAAAGGTTTCTAACTCCCTACAATTAAATTTGCCGCTTTATCTTTTTGTTCAAAAATCCTATGATCGGCCTCGGCAGGTACCAAACTATTTGCAAAGCAGAAGCAGGCCCAATGATTCTTTTCTTACTTTTATTCCAAGGTTCACGTCGAATCTATTTCCTCAATCCTAGTTAATACGACCATGTCTCCACCGAAAAATATATCGATTTTATCAAGCATATTTTTCACTTTCAAGGTTTTCAATACCAATGACATTGATCTAGAAGCCAAGATAGACTGTCTACTTGGTGGGCCATGCCAAGGTCGGAGCCCAGCTAAAGATGTTTAGATCCAAGCACAGGAAACATAACAAGCGTCCCCAAGGTTCTCAATACTCCTGGGCATGCGGCATATCCCTAATCGTATGTGACAACTAGTCTTGGCCTAATCAATGATCATGAGAAGCTATTGAAATAATAGCATATGAAATATGCGTTAAAGCAGTGGGCAATCAGGTTTGAGACTTTGATCTCCTCGTCCTTGTCAAGAGAAATCATTATAATGGGACAATACCAACATTATTAGGATGAGGTCCGAGGACGCCAAGTAGTTGATTCTACTTGGCACATTAGGGTCTATGAACAGATCCGAAATGAGGTCGTCGGGGCGGATATAAAACCGGAAGCCCTGCCCGCAGCAAAGCAATCCAATTCATTACAATAAATATCTTTCAAATATTGCCACTATGAAATTCACCCTTCTTGCCATGATTGCCCTGGCCTCGGGCGCCATTTCTCAGACAACTACATCTGAAGACCCAGGCCCTTCTCCTACGGCTTCGGTTGGCTGTGAACCGCACGGCGATCACTGGTAAGACTTATTTCTGTCCATTCCAAGCTTTCCTTTTCATTTTGCTTATAATGCGGTAGGCATTGCGATGGTCCTGCATCCGCAACAGCAACAACATCCGCATCCGCATCCGCATCCGCATCTTCCAGTGAGGAAACCACAACAAGTGTCACCCCAACTGCCCCCAGCCCGACCGAGTCAGTGGGATGCGAGCCTCATGGTGACCATTGGCACTGCGATGGCCCAGCAGAGACTGGCACAGATAGCTCGTCAACCGCTTCCGCCTCTGACGCGGCGGAAACCGGAGCTGCCGGTATGGTGGGCGCCAACTTGATCCCCGTCTTCGGTCTCGCGGTTGGTGCTGCCGCACTCTTTATCTAATCGAGACCGAATGATGTTCTTATTGAGCCCCTGGATTTATTCTAGTCTGGCCAAACCTCATGTACTGCCAGGGCGTCCCAATACCTGTGAACAATTGATTCCAATGTTTAACATTCGGCGACAGATAGTCATTCTCGGTCATATCTAATAGTACATAATTTGAGTAGCTCAAATATTGCTTTTAGATACGCTTCCTAGCTGCAGACTAGGTAGAATCTTTATAAAATTTCTCAGAATATAGGCAAGCTAGTATTCGAAACTGACAATCCAATCATCGATGCGTAGATGGGATCCCCATCCCTCAGCTCTTCCATCGACATGATGAGAATAGATTAGCAACTCCTGAATTATAATTACCAGACCCTCGGTCTCAAGAAAAATTTTAATTCCCGCAACTCATAACCGAGAAACTGCGAGGAAGACTGATGCTCCGGTCTTGGCGAGACCCTGAACCTTCTTGGCGTGAGGACCCCGGGGAAGCCAAGAGTGTCTGAACCAATATAAGCGAGAGTCTATCTTGTATTTGAATTTCAAGCAAGATGAAGCCTATCATTTTTCTATCAGTGTTGTTCATCCTAGCGTCGGCCATATTGAGCGAATCGATCGACCCCGTTTCTAAGGTATGAAACTTGCCAAACAAACACTAAAGATAGCTAAGAAAATATAGGAAGCCATACCAAAATTTGTCGAAAATATTACGATTGCCGATACTCAAGATCTGAGACATGAAGAAGAGCACACGCGGTTGCAAGCACGGCTCGATCGTGGAAGCCAAGTGTGGGATGGAAACCATCCACGACAACGGCTTTTAACTGCATTGTACGGATTCCGCCAATACAAAGAGCGACACCTCGAAGAAATCCAGCGATGGCGCTCTCTTTACAAAAAGGTTTCAAAAAGCCAGCAAAAGGTTTGTTTCATACTACCCCATTATACCACCACTGACTGTATGCTAACGGAGACAGACAATTGAATCAGCTATCAAGTACAACCATAAATTGAACACAGTTGAGCATCTAATAGATATAAATGATAAGCTTGCGCAAGAAATTGTGCAGACAGGTTTGCATTTCTATGACATACCGCAGTCTGAGCTGGATAAATTCAGTGCGGATCAAATCCGCGAAGGGAAGAAAGCTGATCGAACGAGCGTTGCACAAGCAATGAAGCATTTCGTGCGTGACTGGGCCGAGGAAGGACAAAATGAACGTAAAGAATCATTCACTTGTCTTCTAGGCCAGTTGGATAGTATGGATAGAGAAATCAATGCGCCGCTAAAAGTTTTAGTTCCAGGTGGTGGTATTGGACGATTGGCACATGAGATTGCTCGGCTGGATGGTGAGTTCTCCTAATCTTTTCTCATGTGTCCAACAATATTCTAATAAATCAGGCTTTGAGGTGACAATGAATGAATGGTCTATGTACATGAATTTGGTCTATCGACAGATCATGCGGCAGCCAATCATCTCAAATGCTCAATCCTATCACCCCTGGCTTGATTGGTGGTCTCATCATGCCACAACATCCGATATGCAGCGATCTGTTTCATTTCCCGACTCCCCTATCAATAAACCAGCAGTATTATTGGTTGAGGGCGATTTCACAACGGTGTTCAATGGCGAAGAAGGAAAATATGACGTTCTTGTAACGCTCTTTTTCATTGACACTGCGCGAAATATTTTGACCTATCTCGAGACAATTCACCGGCTGTTGCAACCTGGGGGAGCATGGCTCAACCTGGGACCTCTACTTTACGGAACGGCACCCTTTCTACAGTTATCCCTTGATGAAATTATATCGTTAGCGGAGGCAGTGGGTTTCAGAATCGAAGACCCAGGTGATGTGTGCGGCGATGTTTCTTTGGACGGATTGCCTATTCGTGCCAAGGAGATATCGTATGGAAGAAATGTGCGAGGGTTGAATAGAAATGGGTTCTTGGCGCAGAGCTGGAGAGCCATCAAATTATGACGCTGTCAGAGTGACGATAATTTGGGATGTACTCGCAAGCTCTTTGAAGACGAGTTTGGTTTGTGCAATCCTCTCGGTTCTTTGATACATGAATTTAGCAGCTCCTCTCGATTGAGGCCAATTTTAATAATGTGGCGGGTATTACTTCCATGGTCTACCTTCAAAGAAGTCACAAGTTTGATCGAGTGACTCTTTGAACGTTTTCATTGTTAGTGGCAGTATTATCTTACGCATTGGACTGCGAGGATTTTGTATTATTGCACATGACAAAATTCCAAAATTAGTTTCTACCTAATATCACGTTCAAGTTTCTTTATTGAGCCCAGTTTCTTAAGACTGCTCGGGCTACAATAAATAGGACCTCGACATTTGCCCCTCGGAGTCACAGCCGTCGAAACCGCAAAAGCCAAATTATCAAGTTTCCTTGTACTAAATCAGATTTCACTACACGGATTTTATTCATTCTAGACAATATCCATAACCATGTCTGAAGAACCAGTCGACGCTTCAGACTTTACCCAGGTTAGAGCAGACATGGTGCTCACATTTCATAAATGGTCTCATCCGATGTTTGAAGCCGGTATAACCCGTGAAGTTATGGCAATGGCGATGTATGACATGGCCAACGACTTTGAAAAGTTTCAACAGCTAGCAAATGAGGAAACAGGATTATGTTTTGTTGAAAGATGTAAACGCGTAACAGAGTCGCTTCACGTCATTGCTAAAGTGGTGGAGTTAATCGACAACCTTCCTCTACGAGCCCGGGTATCAGCTTTGAATATGTTCAACGTTCTTGCTGATCAAATTGGCAGGCTCACCCTGCATGGCTACACCGAAGAAGATGAATTTTCAGTTATAATGCGCGAGAAAGCTAAATCCGAGACCTATCGATGGCATCTTAGATTTAGTGATCCTGCGTGTGAGCCAATGCAAAAGACACTTACTGAATATTGGGAATACCTTCACTTCTTTCTCGCGGGTTGCTCTTGTTACAATTGTAAGTGGGAATATCAGCTTCAGAATGAATTGAAGTAATCGAGACCATTGCCTTCGAATTTGTTACGGAGCGGGTATACTACTACCCTCGGTGTTTTTTCTGTGGTGATTTTATGCCTCTATGGCTTTATGATTGCACCTTATTTCAGATTATTTTGTGCTTTGTCTGATGCTTATTTCCATAACGGTCTTATTATTTGTATGTTGAAATAGGCTTGGAGTTCTTAGCAAATTGATACAATGCTTTTCTATACTACGTTTCCACTTAGCAAACGATCGGCCACGGGTTCAACTCTACTAACCAGCAGTGGAAGCGGACTTCAAGAGGAGACTACTGAACTGACTAGTATCAAATTTCCTAATGGAGTACTATGGAATAATCTTTGAACTGCCCGGTCAAAAAGCGCCCTACCTCTAATAGAAAAGCTTCGAGCTCCGAGATAAATACCACTCATTCCTAGACCTTGCCGCACACATGTTATTCTTGATATTCAACATGGGTGGGTCCAGGGAACTTGGCGTCAGCCTGAGCTAGCTCAATATCACCCAACGCCTCAGCAAGACCGGCCTTCTTTCTTGCCTTGGCCTCTTCGACTGCAATTCGAGCCCTGGGAACAACATTCCACTGTAAAGCTTTCTGGTAGAAATTGCGCTTCGCTTCGATCTCCTGGTCCCGGTCCTCATCCGGTAGAAAGATAAGATCGACCGACTCCAGGTTTAAGTAAGACGTCTCTGGGTAGAAACAATAGACAATGAAAGCTGCAACGATGTTGAAGACTGCAAATATGATATAGGTCTGGTAGCCTATATTCTCAAGAGCAGGAGGTGTGATTTCGACAACCTTTGTTACGGTTACAATATTAGAATAAATTGATGGGAAATGTGTTTTAGGATAGTATCTTACCAAGAAGTTTCCAAGGAAATCTGCTGCTGCTGCTAGTGCGGCGCCCTTGGAGCGAATCTTGAGCGGGAGAATCTCGGCAGGATAGACCCAGACCGTGGCCATCCATCCTGTCGAATGCTTCGTTAGCGCGTATGTCCACATGCATAACTGCTGATTTTGGAGATAAGAGAGAAAGTGACTCACCCCAAGTGAAACAGGCCTCGAATGCAAAAACAAAGAAGACGGCTGCGATGCCTGACGGTTTGCTGTCGATAGCCACGGTTATGGCTTCGCAAACCAGCACAATGCACATTCCAATTGCCATGGTAATGAACAGTCGACGTCTGCCAACTGAGTCAATCATGTACCACTGCATGCTTGTCAGATCATGATCAAGGTTGCTTATTCGGTGATGAAGATATCATACTGTTAAAAAGGAAGCGATGATATACCACAGCTGTAAGAAACATCCCACGAACAAGGCTCGTTCCTGGTCCATGCCCAGACTATCCTGGAATAGTGTGGGAGCGTAGTAGCTCACAATGTTGATTCCTAAAGAACGATATGTTCAGTGGGGCAATATCAAAGACCTTAACGATATTGCTTACCTGAAGTCTGTTGCATAAATTGAATACCAAGCGCTAAGAAGAACCGCTTGTTGGCAGCACACCCTCCATCCATAAATAAAGACTTCCAGGTGCCTTCCTCCTCCGACTCAATATTTATCGCAGATAGAATATCTGACTTCTCTTTCTGTACAACTGGGTCGTGCTCAGGTTTGTTGCGTAGCTTGGCCAGAACTGCAGTGCCTCGGTCGGGTGTAGAATCATGTAGCATCAACCAGCGAGGCGTATCGGGTAGAAATGGCGTCATGAATAGAACGTAAAGGGCAAACACAGCCTGAAAAAGGAGCGGGAATCGCCACTGTATAGCGCCTGGGTGAAAATAGAATGCGTAGTTGATCCAATATGCCAACATCAAACCGAATAACATCATTGTCAACTGACAGCAGAGATGCCAGCCTCGCTGGCTAGGGAGACATATCTCACTCTGGTAAACGGGTGCAACAGAGGTCAAGAATCCAATTCCTATTTGTCATGCGGATCGAGTCAGTAGGGGCGGCCCCTCGTATACGATCGCGTTGAAGATATTTTGACTAACCCAGCCCTGTTAAAATTCGGCCGACTATCATCAGCACTCGCTCAACGGATGCCCCCATTAAAATAGATCCAATGACGATCAGGGCAGCCCCAACCATCAACCCACGCTTGCGGCCAAGGCTCTCGACCGTGAAGGCAGCAATAATCGCACCAAAAACACCTCCAACATCGTACAATGCGGTGATTGTACCGGTCATCACGGTGCCTGGGTTTCCCATCTCATCAAGCCAATACTCCGAAATGACCACTCCAGACATGACTCCTTGATCATATCCAAACAGGCTAGAATATAGTACCGCTCACTATACCACAACCAGTATTCTCAACATGACGTGAGAACTGATCGGGGCATCGTAAGTGGTAGTTAATTAGTATGGCTGAGAAACAGAATAGAAAAGGACAAACTTACAGAAATGAAGCAGAACATACTGTAGTAATGGCTACCACAAGTGGCACTCCCTTGAGACCACTAAGTCCAGTCTTGTCAACCATATCTAACAACGCGTAAGACAGGCAGAACCGAGATCACTAGGTATTGCGATCCGACACAGGGCCTCGGGCGGACCCATATATAAGTACACCGTTTCACCCCTCACAATCGGGCCGACTATGAGGTATTTTGCTCGCGAGATCGAAATGCGTGGGGGTCGATCTGGGGAATGTGGGGGAGGACAACGAGGGCAGCTAATCAGGACCAAATCAAGAATTCCAGGTGGCACCAGACGCCCGTTACCTTTCGCGACATTGGATATTATCCGGGCCAAGAACAGCCAAGCATCGTCAAGCATTGAGGATGTGGAGTGGAGCCCGAGGGGATCGCACTGTCAATTGCCTCTTCCAGGGTAACCCCCGCGTGTCGATCAAAGCTTCAATGTACGAGTAGCAAGGCAATGTCGTCCGGGGTCTGCTCTGACCTCACGAGGCTCCACCATCGGACTTGTGCCGGTTGGGAAGGGGTCAGTGTTTTGTTACATTAGGGGTTGCGTAGGAGGAACCTGGTCATGGGTGGTTCCAAGGTTGTTGACTTGGTTGGGTGTTCAGGCTATGTGCTCGGTAGATGAAACAGACTATCCCTCCACGCGCTTCTGAGCTAGAACAAACGGTACATGGAAAATTACCATACAGCTACTCAATAAGAATAATGTTGTTTTGACCAAATTCTAACGATTTCTTGAAAAGTGAACCGAAATTTATGACTGAAAGATTTTGTTACCCAGACCAACTCCCGCAACAAGAGTTGCAGGAAAATAAGAGCTTCAAAGCCACATGTAGAAACAGGGCCAACAGCTTTTGAAGTGCCAATGCAGAAAGTCAGATGCCAAAAGTGTGCGAGAAGAGAACCAAGACTCTTAAACAGAGTCACACGTATGTGACCCAAAGGACGTTTCCCGTCCTTGCCATAATATACCAAGAAACAACATTAAATAACGACACTATCAAGATGGTTAGCATTTGAATCCCATGTAGCAATAGGTGGCAGATATGCATACCTCCAGTCGTTGGCCTCGTCACCGTATTGGATACCCTCGATCCAACTCTTCATCTGGAGAGCAATCTCACCAGCCTCCTCGGTCTCCTTCAGACCGCAATCCACCATCTTACCGCGGTAGCTGATATTCCGCACAGGGCTGACAATAGCAGCGGTACCAGCACCGAAGACCTCAATCAAGCGGCCCTCCTCGGCGGCCTGGGCAACGTCGGCCATGCGGATCTTGCGCTCAGAGATGTCCCAGCCCTGGGGGATAAGACGCTCCCGAGCCAGGGTGAGAACGGAGTCTCTGGTGACACCCTCCAGGATGGTACCGTCCAGAGGAGCAGTAATGAGCTCCTTCTTTCCGGTCTCCTTGTTCTTAATGGCGATGAAGAGGTTCATAGTACCGACTTCGGTGACATACTCCTCCTCGCCGAAGAGCCAGAGGTTCTGCTGGAAGCCGCGGGACGCAGCCTCAAGCTGGGGGAGAATGCAGGGGGCATAGTTGGCACCGAGCTTCTTGTCACCGACGCCACCGGGCCAGGCACGTACAGCATAGTCAGTGGCCTCGAGGGAGATGGCCTTGAAGCCGGTGGGGTAGTAAGGGCCGACGGGGCTGGCAATGACGAAGAGCAGAGCAGAGCCAGGAGGGCCAACGCCGAGAGTCTTTTGTGTACCGATCATGGTAGGTCGCAGGTAAAGTGAGTAGCCGCGGGCACTGCTGCGATTAGCTACGTCTTTCTGACCGGAGGCCGTAGAATCAGGAGCTTCTTACTTTGGGATGAAGCGGTCATCCAGCTTGACAAACTCTCCAATCAGTTTCGTCAGAGCCTCGCCATCGAATGTCGGCAGTGCAATACGTGCAGAGGACTTGTTCAAACGCTCCATGTTCTTGTTCGGCCGGAATAAACGAGTTCCTCCGTTGTTATCTTTATAGGCCTTCATTCCCTCGAAACACTCGAAGGCGTAGTGGAATACACATGTGGAGGGGTCCAGGCTGAGGTTCTGATAAGGGACGATTTGAGGAGTTTGCCAGCCATCCTTAGCGGTCCATTCGATCGAGAGCATGTGGTCTAGGAGAATAATCCTGTCAGAAATCGCCATAGTGCGTCTCCCGCCGCAAAAGGAGGTAGGTACCAGTGAAAGTCGCGCCGAAGACGAGCTCGTTGTTAGGGGTCAGCTCCTTGGGGGTGCTTGTCTTGGTGATTTCCAGCTTCGAAGCATCCAGGGCAGCCTGCTGAGCCGCCGCAGCCGTCACGCCGAAGTTGCGCTGCCAGAGGCGGGTGGACGGGATCTGGGCTGACAGGCGAGGGCTTGCGAGCCCAGTCAACGCCGTACGGCGGGTCAATTGCTGAAACAATCTCATCTCTGTGATATGAGTGTCAGTCTGACTGCCAATGATTGATTTTCGAGAGGAGGGGAAGGGAAAACCGACTGTTTTTAAACGATGACTCCGCACGACTTCGGAGTTGGACATTGCACTCCGAAAGTTCCAAATGGGGAAATGGCAAGGCTTCACCGCCCACGGCTACCCCCGGCATCAGCCTCGACCAATCAAATCGCCCTGATTGGGTGTAGCCCCGCCGAAATCGGATCTCGACTCGCGGGGAGGTCACCTGACCGGCCTTTGAAGTATTCAGTTAAGTGATATAGACTGAGTCAACCCTATATATTATTTTAGATAAGGACAACGAATAAGTCAAAATAGTGGAAGAAGCATGTACCATGTTACACTTCACTTAAAGTACCACTGGTGCCAGTAACATATGTAGTATGTAAGCACTCCATGCTAGGAGAGTATTCCGCCATTTTTAATCTACACCTGCTGAGAGAGGCCTAATCAATGGAGTTGTTTAGTTCTCCCATATACTAGTCATGTAAAACAATAAAATAAAAACCATTTCTTGTTCACCAATTGCCCACTATTCATGTGCATTCACATCTCCTACCCTAAAGTACACCGAAGTACTCCACCGCAGTGCCGAGGGCGGAGAAGTACCTGATTGGTACACAGTTTCCTCGATATGTCATAGCTACACTTCGAATGCTCCTCCAAATGCAATTGATGCGTGGCATTGCGCCGCGTCTGTCGCTTACCCGGAGCTCCGTTCGACCTCCGCTACCCCTCCATTCTCTCCATTCTCTCCATCGCCTGCATCGTCTCCCTCTTTCTTCCCCGACTGCCATCCACTCCAAATACTTCTCCCTCTCCCATTCATACCGCATGCCCATCATGGATGACAACGTTAAACAACACTATCTGGCCGACTCGCCCCCCCTCCGTCGTCAAGCTAGAGATCAAGTCACACTGGGATACCCTGAAGGATGAGAGCCTGAAGCGATATGCTCACTACATGAGCAGGTATGATGCCTCCCTGAGCTCCGGTGCAAATGTGCCAGGTAGCGCACGACCACAATCGTGCCACCCGCGCAACATTGAACTAAGCTGACCGCTGCGGGGAAATCTATACAGAGCTGCATTCGAAGGTACTCGTGTTACCTTGCGTCAAGTTTCGCCCGAATCGGAACCCATCTACGACCTCATCCTTGCCCTTCACCGTGCGGCCAATGGAGATTGGGCCGGCCTGGCTAAGAAGACCTCCGTTAGCGACGAACACCTCCGTTTCTTCCTCGAATATTCCGCCCAGTTCTTGGGTAACTGTGGTAACTACAAAGGCTTTGGTGACTCCAAGTTCATTCCCCGCCTGCCAGCTTCGGCCCTGGAGGCGCTTTCCTCCGCCACATCGGAGACCAAGGCTGCTTTCCAAAAGGCGAGCACAACTGGGGGTGGCATCTATGAGACCGCTGAGCAGTCATTGATGCACTTGGGATACCCGGCTAGTGGACACATGACAACGTATTACCCCGACTCGCCCTCCATCACTAAGGATGAAATCACCGCTGTTGGTGACCTGATGGAGAAGAAGGGTTTGGCATTGGAAAACACAAGACTGCGCAAGACCTCGTCAGGCGACTTTGAACTTTTGATTGCTTCTGGAGTATCAAACCCACCTGCACGGCATCGCGATTTGGGCGAGACCGACACTTTTGAGTTAGAGGGTTCTCTGAAGGGCAAGACCTTGCGTCTAGTCTTTGGTGACTACCAGGAGGAAATGGCAAAGATTGCCCACAGCATTAAGCAAGCTGAACTCAATGCGGCCAACGATAACCAGAAGCGCATGTTGGAAGCTTACGCTCGCCACTTTGGTGCTGGTTCCATCGAATCCTTCAAGGAAAGTCAGCGTGTCTGGGTGAAAGACCAAAAGCCTATCTTGGAGACCAACATTGGTTTTGTAGAGACCTACAGAGACCCTCATGGTGTTCGTGGAGAGTGGGAGGGCTTTGTTGCCCTGGTAAGTTTTTTTCAACCCGGATCAACTACATAGATCGCATCTCTAACCACCACTAGGTCAACCTTGAACGTACCCGGGCATTCGGAACCTTGGTTGACAGCGCTGAGAGCATGATCCCGAAACTGCCCTGGGGCACTGAGTTTGAGAAGGATACGTTCCTCAGCCCCGACTTCACCTCCCTGGAGGTTCTGAGCTTTGCCTGCTCGGGCCTTCCCGCCGGTATCAACCTTCCCAACTACGATGATATCCGTCAGAATCTGGGCTTCAAGAACGTTTCCTTAGGCAATGTTCTCAGTGCAAAGGCTCCCAACGAGCCCATCCCTTTCGTCGCCGAACAGGATCAAGAAGTCTACCGTCGATGCCGTGACCCAGCATTCGAGGTCCAGGTTGGCATCCACGAGCTGCTCGGCCACGGAACTGGCAAGCTCCTGCAGGAGACTGCACCCGGCGAGTACAACTTCGACATCTCCAACCCTCCCATCAGTCCTGTCGACAACAAGCCCGTCAAGACCTGGTATAAGCCCGGGCAGACATGGAGTTCTGTTTTCGGCGCCATCGCCTCATCTTACGAAGAGTGCCGCGCCGAGTGCGTTGCGATGGCTCTTGGCTGTGACTTTGAAATCCTGAAGATTTTCGGTTTCGGCGATGGTACTGTTGATATGGATGGCGAGGCTGGAGATGTCCTCTTCGCGGCCTACCTCCAAATGGCTCGCGCGGGGCTGGTCGCCGTTGAGTTCTGGGATCCCAAGACCCAGAAGTGGGGACAGGCTCACATGCAGGCTCGCTACAGTATCTTGCGTACCTTCCTGGATGCCGGTGGTGATTTTGTCAAGCTGCATTACACCAAGGACGACCTATCGGACCTCGAGATCCGTCTGGACCGATCCAAGATTCTTTCCCATGGCCGCCCCGCCGTTGAGAAGTATCTGCAGAAGCTGCACGTTTACAAGAGCACAGCAGATGTTGTGGCAGGCAAGGGCCTGTACGATGATATCACCTCAGTCGATAGCTGGTGGGCGTCTCAGGTCCGTGAGGTTGTTCTGAAGAACAAGGTTCCTCGAAAGGTCTTTGTACAAGCCAACACCATTCTGGAGGGGGACAAGGTGACCTTGAAGGAGTATGAACCTACGCTGGAGGGTATTATCCAGAGCTTTGCAGAGCGCAATGTGTAAAAATCGGGCTCCAGAAGCATAACATAACAATCCATCAACAATATGATACCAGGGTCTCGATTAGTTTATAACATCACGGAAAAATCTAAATAGCATAAGTAGGCCGATAATTATCATTCAGAACAAGTGGAATATTTGTAAATCTTCTGCTTACCAGGACTCGATGTTCTTTTGTCCTCTTCGTCCAACTTGTGCAGTAGCGTGGCGGACTTAGCTTACCGCCAGGGTGATCTACGCTTCGCCTCTAAGCGCTGTCCATCCCTCAACCCCCAACCCCTCTCAAACTGCCACGAGATCCTGCAACTCCCAAGTTTCAAGTTCCAAGGGACTTTTTTTCCAACCTGAAGGCTCACATATATACATCCAAAGCAGCGGCCACTCCCCAACCTGGCCAAGCGTTGTCCAGACCGTTCGACTCCTGATCGACAAACATCGGACCCTTTAGGGCGCAAGTCCGGAACTCATCAGATCAACCGCGTCGCAGCGATTGGATCTGATCCCCATAGCACTAGCACCGTGTCGGAAGAAACACCTCCTCGACGCTCATCAACCACGGCGCGACCGCCATCACCAACGGACTCCCTCGCGGAGGACGACTATTACACCGCACCCCCGCCGCCGCATTCACCATTCGAAGCATCTGCCACGAGCTCGGTCGGTCCACCACCTTTCTCCTCTCTCTTCTTCGCCCCCTCCGATTCCGACTTCAATCGCCTCGAGGTTACCGAATCCTCCGGCTCCGCTTCCCTCCCAGCTTTTGCGCCGCCCTTTGTTGAGGAGTCGCTCGACCCGGCCTCTTCGTCGTCGGTTGTCGCAGATACCAAAGCGTCTTTCTCAGATCCCAAGGGGGACGCCACTGGCAAGAGTCCTGACGACGGAGAACCACCGCCTCCCTATACCGAAGGATATAGTCCACTTGAATCTTTCACCTACGTTATGGCTGCCGCTGGTGGAGCTTCCAGCATCATCACCCAGGTCCAGCAGACCGGGGACCGCCGATCAACACCCTTGGTGGTATGTGCAGTACTGGATGGAGGGAAGGCCCACGATGAGCCATGCTAATGATTTTTGGGCACATTTAGATATCGGCGGAGATGAGCACATCACTCTTGACCTTCGGTATGAGTTTCCTATCACCCAGGGGCCAATCGACTTGACACTGACTTAATATAGGGGTACCCGCTTTACACTATCCCGAGATGAACTACTGACATTACCCGAGTTTGTACTGCTATCCCTCTTCCCCAACGGTCTTCTTCCTGACGGGCACATTGGCGGATTCCACGAAGGAGATATCTACCCAGTCGATGTAAGTGAATCTGGCTTCAATGAACTCTCAGAAAGCAATTGATCCATTGCTAATACCGCTTTAGTATGACCCTCTCTCCCTTCAGTACATGCTGGACTTCTTCCGCACGGTGGCCCAGTCCATTCCATCAACGGCACCTTCCGAGTCGACATCGCCGGACCTGGAAATGTCCGACGCAATGCAGAACTCTGCGCGTGATATGCTCCAGGATCGCGCCGGCATCATCGTCCTCCGTGAAGACTTGGACTTTTATGTTATTCCGCCTCGACCTGAGATCGGTCACGAAGAGATGCTTGAGGTTAAGCGGGCGGCTGGCCGAGCCCTTTTGAGGCAGGACGGCATTTTCTCTGGACTGCGTAAAAGCGAGGAGATTGGATCTACAGAACAACATCTGATTGAAATGCTGACTGCTGGGTAAGTCATAATACCCTGAAGTTAATTTCAATATTCTAATCCTCTGAAAAGTGGTTTTGATCGCGAGGACCAATGGGGCCATCGGGCTCCAGAACCCAACAAGGCGGTCATTTGCAGTCTGGCTCTGGCGAAGCTTCGCACCGACATTCGAGGAGATCTGTCTAACAACAATGCCGTCGGCATGGCCCAGAAACTACTTCTCTTCTGGCGAAAGCCCGCTCGCCGGTGCTGGTGGGAGGGAATCGACCTCGATGATGTGGAAGGGGTGGAGGGCCAAGTCAAGGTCTGGATCCGGAGGGTCTGGACATTGGAAATGGTAAGATTCACCATGTCTCCATCGGGGATAAATTGATGACTAACTTTATGCCTTTACAGAGTGTAATCGGTCTCCGGTGATCAAAATCGTCTTTGCTCTTCTTCTCTGCATCTGTACTGCTATACCCAGATCCAATGGCTCTCGCCATGAAAGTTATCCCGTCTCTCTTTTGGCAATGTTGGGCTTGATATCAGTCTGCTACCGCGATGTCTTTTTCTGTTCTTTCTTTCCCCCATCTGTGTCATTGATTGATTGATTGTTTTTTTTCGACAGCAGGGCTGGCGTACTAAGCAATTTGGTGTCTCTGTGTTCTTTCCCCATATTCTCCATCTATGTTAGTTGAGTATCCTTGAAAACACGCCTATGGACATATGGTATGAGGCAACAAATCAATTTCCTGTGCTGCTTGAATTTAGTTTATACCTAGGTAAAATTCATATATTTCTTTGTAATCTCGCATCTATAAACTATCACGGTATTCACATATTCACAGCATTCACAGGGAGCATATGGTGGCCTCAGGCATAAACACGTGACCATGGAATGGGCCCGCCTCGATTGGGCAAAACGCGACGGCGCAGATTCCAAGCTCAGTGAATTCAATACCATAACCATCCGCCTCAATCCCGTTCCAGCTTAAGAGCTTGTGACTATCTGGGATTTGAGCTCGCTGTCCTTTTCAACAGCTTTCTCTACAATCCCTCATCCTTCTCCCTTCCACCCGTAACCCCGTCAACGTCGATCAACAGAAGCTTTCGCGATCGCAATCCCCGCGAAGGGGCATGTATCAGTCGAAATAAATCGCCAACATGTCCCCTCTTCGTGGATATATCACTTCATACCCACCACGCGTGCGCCAGTATGGCAATGCGTTGCTCACCCCAGTCTACCCGGTGCAGACTGGCCCGACGCCGCGAACCACCAAGCGCGGAACGACCGCGATCAATTACGCCGAAGACGGATACGATGATGGGGACTTTGATGAAGATAGTGATGCCCTTCGAAGGCCCACGGGGCTGAGAAGTCTCCGACGTGAGGAATCCTCTGGTGGTCCTGGTGCTGGTGGCGGCGCCCTGCCAACAACCCAGAAACTGGGCAAAGAAGCGCATGCGCCTGTGGAAGTGCAGGGAGTCTTTCGCGAATGGATGATCAAACGAATGTTGCGACCAGCGTATGTTTTTTTTGTTGCAGTCTTGTGCTCGGCACGACAGAGGCAACTCGACTCCCTCGTCCCTGTGTCTCCTAGCTAACTTTCTTCTTCTTACAGATGCGCGGATCAATTACAAATCCAAGCTCAGCTCCCTCTCACCCTCGTTCCCATTCGAATTGATGTCGAGGTTCCCGCTCACACCCCTCTCGAACCCTTCCCTATCCCACGCGGCGCTGATAACAGCCTCAACGGCCTCCTCAACCTTCCTGCATACCGCCGTCCAGAGCCCCTGCCTCCTTTCCGAATCAAGGATACCTTCCTTTGGAACCTCCATGAAGCACTTGCGACACCAGAAGAGTTCGCTGTCGGATTCGTTCGCGACCTCGATCTACCGAATCCGCAAGCGACCACAATGACTATCAGCAACCAGATTCGCCAGCAACTGGAAGAATATGCTGGTGTGGCATTGCATCCTCTTTTCTCGAGCACCCAACCACCCCATGAGCAAAGCATGCCCCCACAAACAGAATTCTCTCGAGACACCTCTATGACCCCTGCTGCTACCACGAATGTTGCCACGCCTGACAGCCGGCCCAACGGAGCATCAGTAACAGCGACGAAGGAAGCACTAGTCAACGACAGCCTACTAAACCCAGATGATGCGTATCGTTGCCTGATCAACCTCAACATCAACTTACAAAATAAGCTTTATACCGACAAGTTTGAGTGGTCACTATTGCACCCACCTGGTATGGCGGATGACTTTGCCAAGATCACTTGTGCAGACTTGCACCTTGGCGGCGAATGGGTCAGCGCCATTTCACACGGTATTTACGAGGCAGTCCTGAAGCTCAAGAAGGAGGTCTGCGAAAGTGGCGGCCTCGTGAGCGGAATCAACGGTTACGGCAATGAGATCGATAACCAAGCAGCGAACGGTGTCGAGGCCGGTTGGCGGTATGACCCCGAGACCCTCGGCGACGAATGGGAACCCAAGGTCGAGACTCTCTCCAAAGACGAAATCGAAAGACGAGAAGGCGACCGAGAACGACAAATCCGGCGCCTGCGCCGAGAGACTGCACGATTCTCCTCTACCACCGGCATTACCACCGGTACGCCAGAGGCATCCAGGCAGAGCAGTGGTGGATTCTTCGATGTCGACAGCGAGACTCCTCTCGGTAGGGGTGAACGAAATAAGCGGAAGCGTCGATTCCGCAGCCTCAGTCCTTTGGGCCGGAGCACTCCAGGTGGCCGAGGCACCCCGGAAACGAGCTCTGGTGCTGGATATGGCGGCGGCGGTGGTACACTTTCCGAATGGTACGTCACTCTCGAATGCGTACCTTAACTATCACTAACGTACGACTTTTTTTCTGTTACAGGGAACGGCAAAGCTGGAGATGCTTTAACTGCATGGTATGGGGCACAGCAGTGTGGGCGGTGCGAGACGGCCCTGATGGCCCACGGGTAAGTCATTCATTGTCTACCGAGCACAGTAATATCCATATCTTTAACCTCTCTTCCTTCTAGACACTTTGTCACAATTGTGGCTTCCTCTATGAGCGAGACAAGGTCGCACCTGAATGGTCAAAAGACCTCCATCGTCATGATATCCCCGTCGGGCGAATCGCCTAAGCCTACAGTGTTGCTCTTTTATTCCACAATCTACCACCTGCGAAACACGACAGATATCATAAACATTATCAGCCGTGCCTTACAGCTGTTCTCCAACGCCATTCATTCCCTCTCAAATCCTCTAATCCCGACCAAGCGAGACATGCCCGCGAATCCCCTTCTATTCAAATAGTCCCCGCATATCGGCTCCCCTCGACCGATCGCTTCTTCTCTCGCCTTCGAGCCACCTTATCCTACTTGCTGGTATCAACGAAATGCACCTTCTCTCACCTTCCCCAAATCACCGGTAGAAAGGGCCAGGCCCAAAGTAAGTGCAACGATTGGTTCGTATGACCTTTTGGGGGCGGAACCCCTAGGCTTGGCCACTTGGTGTACTTGTTCTCAGGGTGCTTCTTTATATATCATATGCATTCTCGTCCATTTGGACACCGGAGGTTGTTGTTGGCGGTTATGATCTTCTTCATTCGATTTTGGAAGTTCCTAAATAAACCCCCCCTTCTGGAAGTGGAAGACAGTACAGTGGCTGGATTCCGTATCCCCTTTCTTTTCTTTTTTTTTTCTATTTTTCTCTGTTCTACTGCTGGTGCTATTGAGGTATTCATGGGTGGGCGTGGAGATGGTGCTTCTGTGAATTTTTCTAGGTTAATGTATGAATATGACCATGGATCCATTGATTTTATATTAGGTTTCTGCTTGGCTTTTGGTGCTTTTTGGTGTTCTTTGGTCCGCTTTGCCGTACCAGTAGTAGTGCCTAGTAGTACGTAGTTCCAGTACAAGGCTGGGTTTAATTGCCGGTGGCAACCTTGGAATGGCAGGAGACTTCCTAGATGGCGAAGAAGAAACGAACTAAGGTTTCTATCGCTCTTGACCACCTGGGCACGCAATCCGGATTGAAACGACAGGTGCGAGATCCATTACCTAGGTAGAACACGGGCATCAGTACTACTATTCGTCAAGCCCTGTTGAACTGCCAGTGGATGCCCACCTGGGCACTGGCACTGGCAGTTGACACCTAGGAATCCCCTCCACTTGGGCGGATTGTTGAATTTTTCCCAAGAACCTTAGAAGCTGCCAGTGTCGGAGTTATGGGGACCTCGCCGGGGGATACTACTACTACTACTACTACTACTACTAGTTACCAGTACCTAGGACCTAGATAAGTACTAGGTAGTTAGTATATATATTGGGCAGTAGATCCTACTACTAGTAGTATAAAATCGCTTACTACCAACTCGTTCGAGGGATCGAGACGAACAATAGTAAATAGTAGTATTACAGAGGCTGGCAGGCTCTAGACACCCAGGATGAAATGTCATGCCTTGGTAGTTGGTTGTTCGTTCTCCAAGAAACGCGAGGCCCCTGAGGCCTCAGGCATCAAAGCACCCGTGCTGACTGTCTTTAGAGAACTTCGCGCTCTCATCTCATCTTTGATCCGACCATGACTTTGTAATTTCTATCTTCTCATTCGTAGCCTCTAGCAATAAGCAACTTGAAAGGTAGAAAGATGAGGCGTGGTTGATATCAGGTGACCAGGGCACACACCAGTCGTGACCACGTGATATCAAACCCTAACCGCTACCCCATCCTCAAAATCTATGATTCTGGCCTCAATAAAATTCTAAAAATTCTTTAAAAATTCTATATACTAAATTTAAAATTTAACTGAAGCGCTGCCCTCAAAATTTTGTTACAATAATAAGCTGTTGGCGAGCGAATCTTGGGACTCTCGCCCCGGCCTCAAATCTCCACCATTCGGCTTCAAAAAAAAGTTAAATTAATCTTCAAGTGTCCATACTTGAAGGCAGCATTCATCAACCGGCGATGATAGCTCAGTTGGGAGAGCGCACGACTGAAGAACAACTTCAATCAGCTGTTACAGCAAATCGTGAGGTCGCTGGTTCGATCCCGGCTCGTCGCATATTTTTGTCTTTTTGTGTCACTCACTCACTGTCTACCTTTTCCCGATTGAGATGGAGGCAGACAGACCTCTTCTCACTTTGTTGTCATCGAAATTGGCCTTTTTTTTTTCCCAAAAATTGTGGCTTGATACGTCAAGAGGGCGGTATAAGACCCGGAATTGAGAAAGAAGTTTATAGATACTAATTGCAAGGTCACGGCACTGCTACCATGATTAGTGACAAGTATACTAAACTTTTTAAACAGGACTCGGAAGTGCGATACTAGTACTAGTACTGGTTCGATCTACTACAGTTACTGCCAATGGTATAACCTTGAAACGAAACAAAAGTGAACTTGAAGATCAAACTTTTGAAAGAGATTCTCAGGCGTTTAACCCATATCAGAGCGACAACTCTTTTCAAGCTTCGAAGGCTGTCATGATCTTAAAAATCCTCTATTGTCACATCTTCACACCCATGCGGGCAGAGCTTGGCCCACTTGTGAATAGTTCGCGGGGACGCCGACGAGCCAATACGCTCTGGGCAGAATTTAAGTCTTGAGCATGGAGAATCCAAATGGGGCTTAGCTTTAGCAGCGTTTTGACAATGTGATGCCGCTTTGTTGTCTGTTCCGATTTTCGGTTAGGGTAACCGATCGGGACTTGCAGCCCGTTTTGCAAATAGCAGTCTGGATTCGAATCACGACACAAACCAGACACCACTCAAGTCGGACTTTCGAGATAGACACCACAAGCAGTTAAATAGCGTTTCATTTGGCTGGCTGAAAACTAGCACTTTCTGTCTATCTTACCGAATGTGGGGGGTATAGTGTATGGCTTCAAGTTTTTGGCTCTGCCGAAAGTAATACAGTAGAAGCGCCAGTAAGTGCGGCTGAAGCTGAATTCCGCTTCATCGCATGTCTCTATTTTTGAAATGCACCTCGCCTCTTCTGCACCCCGCTCCCACTCCCACTCTGCATGTTCATGATATGTATCTGTTTAGCGAGTTACGACCACAACTAGTACCATATAAAAGTTGAGGATTGCTGCCTCTTTCGACCTTTGCTCCTGAGGTCAACCTTTAATAACAAAAAACATCTGCTTTGGTTGTCTTTCGCCCGACATGGTAAACTTCTTCACTACCGTGGTCGGTATCTTCACACGGCTAATTAATGCATCCATCGGCCTTGCTCCTTGGGTCTCATTTGCTATCTGGCTAGAAATTCGGGATCTGTTCTACCTCGTCAGTCATCCTTTTCAAATGTTCTTGTATTTTTTTCTCTTTTTTTCCACTTTGAGTAAGTTCTCAGGCTGACGGAACCTTGCATAGATCGCAAACCGTTTTCGCCCTAGTCGGCCCGTTGGAAGTGTTGTGCCTCCCGGCCATCCAGGCCACGGTGGAATCTGGCCGAAGTTCCTCCCTCCGACCCAGGGGAAAGAGAGCCGATCTCCGTGTCCCGGGTACGTCTGCCTTCTGCAAATACTTCGTACTGTGGTTCTATATCTAACGCGCATGCTTTCTGGATAGACTCAACACCCTTGCCAACCATAGTACGTCTAGCAGAATCGCTTCAGGGGCTCTCTTTTGCTCATCTGTATCGTCTAGATATCTTACCCCGTGATGGCAAACATATCACCTATAAGCAGTTGTCATCTTCAATCCAGCATGCATTTAACTTTTCGCCAACACTTGCCGGCCAGCTCACTGCTTCTGCCAAACTGCTAGACCAAGGACGGGGCTGGATTGACCTGCATGATCTGAATGCCTTGAACGTGAGTAACAACAGACATGCGTACCCTCATTTCAATCATTTAAATCTGTTCACGCTGATGATCTTCTGGTCGTTCAGGTTATCCAACACGACGCCTCAATTACCCGTCCTGACATTGCCTTCTGTCCTGATCAGGGTTATCCGCACCCTGACCTCGTCGAAAAGTTCCTCGCCCACTCTTCTAACGGGAAATCTCTCTCGCTGGGTGACATTGCGGCTTTCTCTAGAAAACGTCGTGCCGAATGCAAACGCAGCAATGGTCAATACTCTATGACAGGGAACTTCCTGCACGAGTTTATTGGTAGGTCACCCCGGTGCTTCAAGTGCAAGATTGTATCTAACCAACTCGTCTTTTCTTCACTAGGCTCGGGGGGGTCGCGAACTCATTTACTCTATATTTGGTGGTAATGTCGATGACCTGCGTGTCTTTCTTACCGAGGAGCGCTTTCCGGAAGGGTGGGAGCCAAGGACCAGAGAAGCGTTCGGGCATACCGTCACAGTAGGTTCTTTATACTTCCCTTTACGATCGGCTCCCTTGTCTTATCTTCTTGTGCGTATAGAAAGCGCAATTGATCTCCCTCGTTATCGAATTCAATATCAATGAGGTGTGAGACTAGCCTGATACCATTGTTTAATTTGAGCAGAATAAGTCGTGAGGATTAGAGCTACTATACGCACTTGGGTCATATACTCCATATCCGTCTCTTTTCTAGGCCAGTTACTTCACGGCCTTGGGATTGATTTCCATCTGATACGTGGTTATGTCCGACCTTTGCTTGGAGCATCCCTGCTTTATGTGTAGTGATTCTATTCAGTCTTCTCTTCATAGCAGGATGAAATTTTCATTTTCCTTCAACCGCCGAAAAGGTGTTTTGGCGAACATGCAGCGTGTACCATGCTGCATTTTCTTTGTATGGCGCAGTATACTACGTCATTAAAATGATAAAAACCAAGAAGCTACCATCACATTTGTCTCATTCTCGCAAATATCTGCGTCCAGTTAAAGAGAGCCTCCATCTTGTTTCAAGAAATGGGGTCCCTCGGACCAATCCCCCTTGTCACAAAATTCCTCGACAAATGGCATAGCACCTTGCCAGTTCAAGATCCAGAGGCTAGAACATCACTTCGAATTCTCATCCCTATCACAGTTATGTGTGCTCTCTATGTTGTATGCCGGATCTATATCTACGTGGAGGATTTTACCTCCCTTCGACAACAACCATCTGATGTCTGTACCAGTGCGAATATCTTATCTTGGGGGTTTTCAGTCTCGACAAAGCAGAGGATGAATGGCCATGTTGTGTAAGGAATTATATAGATTGACAACTTGAAGAGATATACATAATAATTGAAAGCATAAATAGCCACTGAAAATATAACAACGGTCAGTTACCTATTGGCTCTTCTTCGAACCCTCGGACTTTCCTGGCTTTGAAGCTGAGATGGCAACATAACGCAAATGCGCACGACCTCGATAAATTTCCACTCCTGCGACTGTGTTGATGAAGAAGCGTTCCAAACCAAAGAAGGTCACGATCAAGAACGGAATATAAGCAAGAACGTAAAAAAGTCGCGCCATCGGTTTAACGTTAGGAGAATAGTCCCGGACAACAACATCAGTGAAGCCAGCATCTTCAAGCATTTGTTTGTACACGCCAGGAAGTGAGCGCTTATTGGTCGGCATTGCACAAAATTCATTGATTCTCTCCATCGATAGAGACGTTGATTGCTCTGAATTGTTGTATAACTCATGGTCATATTCGAACAACGCAAGGCGTCCGCCAGGACGTAGGACGCGAAAAAAGTTGCGTAGAACAAGCTCAGCGTCTGTGGCATGGACAAATGTTTCCATCGTATAAACACCATCGAAAGTCCCATCTGGAAATGTGTCCAAGTGATGATAATCCATCTTGCGCACAGCAAACTGGTCATCTGAGAGCCCTCGCCGGGCAATATTGCGACGAGATTTAAGGATATGATGGTCGACAATTTCAATTCCTTGAACCTTGTACCCATACTTGGTATGTAAATGAATTGCGACATGACCAACACCACATCCTGCATCAAGGATATAAGCGCCTCGTCCAAGATTCAATGATGCTGCCAGTTTATCCTCCATGGCGCGCAATGCGCCGCTCAGAGGAAATGGCCACCACGTGTCATGTTCGTAGTATCCAAAATGACGTGTTCCGCCCAGGAGGAGGCGATATCCAATTCTGGATTCGAGTGTGTGGTAGTAGGATTGTAGTTGAGGGTTATCCCGGATTATGACTTGTTCGTCCTTTGCCGGTCCCATCTTGTTGTACAGAGATGGATTCAAGAACACCAAAAAAAGAAAAAAAAGAATGTGTGATCGGAGACTTGGGGGATTTTGGATCTTAGGGAGAGGGGGAAATTGAATGGATGACAGGGGGGGGGGGCTCAGTGGGCCTCTTTTCAAATCAACGGAAGACTGGGGTGTTGAGGGCGCAGCTGAGAGAGCGTCAAAGAAACCACGGCCTGCTCCCCTTTATGATTGGCGATCTATATGTAGCTTTCTGCTGGTTCCCGTCACTTTCTCCAGCCGAGAGCATCTGTCGGTTTTCGAGGTCGCAGAAGGTATCGATTGGGAGGTCTGACAGCTGGTACGGCAGCAGTCTATGATGCCGATGCAACTAGCGGTCTCTCTGAAGTCTTGCCGCGACACTCGGCGGATGAGGCTCCACCCCCTTACTCTAGAGCGCCCCCCCAGGGAAGTGAGGGATGAGGGTATTTGTGGTAGGGTATCAGGTAGTGGATTGCTCGGTATTGGATAAGAGTAATAAACACGCAAAGCGGTGCCCTGCCCCGCGCAGAAGGTTTCGGAAAAGAATGTTGTGAGCGAAAGTCGGAGAAGAAAACCTCCAATTGACCTATCGTTTGTCAGCTACATCACATACGACAATGCAGACGACGAAGAAGCAGTGCTAGCTGCCTTTGCCACCGGTATCTCTGCGCCACACCCTAAGAAGCACAACGTCTATCAAGATGAACTTCCTCCTGAGCCCAAGAATTGGCGAGAAATGCTTCAGCACACCTATTGTAAAGGATGGCTCACCGCAGCAGGACTTGAAGTTGAGTCCATCCGAGTCCGCAAAACCTACACGGTCGAATCTCAACCGTAAGATCGCAGCATTGTATGATCTATTTGAAATGTGCTCTAATTCTATTTGGTATGAAACTCCTGCGCCTTATAGATATATGCAGTCTTATTTAGCACTTGTACTTGTCGTGATGGAAATGCTAAGATCTGCTGTGTAAAAGGATCAATCGCAACAGCGAGGATTATTAATGCTGCTCCAGCCAATGCTAGAAATGATCTTACGTGCTAAAATATCTTCAGGGATCCCCAGGGACCACGGCTGGCTTGATCAAGAAGATGGAAATGACAGAGCTGCGTTGGATTTGGATTGCGGCCCTGTTTCCACTTCAACTGGCCAAGACAGACCGAAACTAAAACAAGCATCGCTGACTTAGCGAAGGTCGCAATTACAGAGATGACTGCATTAGGAGATATAGAATATTGCCAGCTGAGATAGGGTTTCCCAACCACGTATCCCAGGAAGCCTATTAAGAGGGCAAGGTAGATAACACTGAGAATGGCACATCCGATTTCCCAGTTTCAGGAACCTTCTCAGTCGTAATTTTTGAAGGCCTCCTTGGCACATGAAAGTTTTGTTCCTTGTTGCTTAAAAACCGTGTCTTTGGTTGGTCGAGGAGCGACTTGGGATTCATTCTCTCTGTCATGATCAATAGGTCGGCTGACGTGTTCGGAATTTTCTGACGCCGCTGAAATTGATGACATGGTTCCAGTAAGAATTGGCAGTTTATCCATTTCATGTGTATCCATTTTATGTGGTTGCGATAACATGAAAAACCGGAAATATCCGTTTTATATTGATGATTCAATCAAAATTGACAGATAGGCAATAAAGATATAGCCCTAAAAGTTGGGAGAGAGAGGCACGGATATACACAGAGAGGGGGAGGGAAGGAGGTAGGAAATGAGAATAAAATAAATCATGCAGCAATAGGCTTACAGCGAGTTTTCTAGTCCAGTCCGAAGAAAACTAGGCCTTAAGGAGGTCAGGTGCAGACAAGGCTCATTACCAGAAAATACCGCGACTCTATTCTTATGTCGCGGCGTTGTAAAGGGAAGGCTCGGATGGTGGCCTTGGCTTTGGAATATTTCTACCCTGATGGGCTTAGATATGTCTCAGATTGCCCTGTTGATCCTACAGGTTTAGGGGTCTCTGCCCCCGCGCGGGGCGAATGCGGCTCTCGCCCATATCACACCCGGGTGAGCCCCACCTGACTACTAGCCGTGTAAGCGACACGCCAAATGACCAAGCTGACCAATTATTTGGTCTACAATTTGGGGCTCATACAGGGCTGTGTGCGGATGCCAAGGGACCAAGTATTCTGGTAGCTTGTAACCCAGGCATATCACAATCCGTATCACCTAGACGGGTCAGTGCGGCCGTCGGGTAGTATGGTGGGTGACCACATGCAAATCCTGGAATATCTGTTGTATGTTTTTGTTTACCCGTTTTGTTTGATTCGTTGGGTTTAGTGCCTTTGCCGCTTTATGTAGACATACCTTTTGAGGCGATCGAACTCATCTTAGATTGAAGCGATATCCTCTGTTTATATACGTTTTTTATCCCTCGGTTTATGACTTATGATATGCCAGCTAGAGGGTAGGCGCGCTATAAGTCGACGCGAACATTCGCGATCAACCTCTCGCGGGGAGACATCTAGTGTCAGGCGACGGAGTACAATCTGATTTGCTGCTCGTTGGGTTTGGCTATGGTTCAGGGGAATATTGAAGAGAATAATAAAAAGAGCGCTACGGAAGAAAGAGCCCTGTGCAGAGTATTAGGTTCAAGTTCTATTTTGGGAACGGTTAATGGGGATTATACGAAGTACTCCATCTGTGTTTACGAGGAGTAGCCGGGACAGTGTGGCGCATGCACTCGTATAGATAATACTACTAATACCTCGTCACCCCACCTTAATATTCTCCTAGATCTACGGTCCTCATATTATCCCTCGTAACCGCTGAAAGAGGTGCAGTGCAACCTTTAGACATGGCGACTTTACCGGTGACGCTCCCGGTCAACCCTGAGTTTGGCTCAAGAGAGCGAATTGGGGTGCGTCATTATTCTTATTTTACCTGACTGATGCTCAGGCGATACTATCGCCGTCTGACCTCGTCCAGGACCATCTCGCAATCATGCGAAAGTTCAAACGCATTTTAGAGGATGCGGAGCGCCCCGGCAGGTACACGCATAGATTCCCGCCCCCTCCTCCCGGCGTTTCAGGTCAGGAACAAGAGGGTAAATGGAGAGTGCAATGCCTGCTAATGAGCGCTGAGGTCCGGTATTCGAGGTACCTTCAAATGTTAGCAAGGTGGATTGGGTCTCATGGCGTCAAAACACCTAAGGATGAGTGGCCGCTCCCACCATGGTGTGATAATCCAAATTTCTGTGTTCTCTTATTTTGGGGCATGGGGGGTATGTAGTACTAACATCCTTTGGCAGGGACGTGGCCATCATATTTTACGCCCATCTCCTCTCACCATTCAAATTCGAGATCGCCATCGCGTCAGATTTCCAGATTCTTTGGAAAGCAGAGATCGAATTTCCTCTTACGAGAATGCGCGCATTCAATACGGATCATGCAAGTAAACGTGCATGGATGAACGAGTATCCCGATATCCCTTATCAGGCTGTCGAATTCACTCCTGCTGGAGACCACGCATACATCACTGCTGAGAATGTTATAGACATTCACGGCTATAGGTGTGGTTCGAAGCACTGCAAGAAGAAGGGAACATATGTCATCCGAATGACTGAATGGTCCAAATACCGGGTTGACCGAGCCAAGCTCATCTGTCCAGGTTGTAAGACGACGTTCACTAACAGAGAAACCAAGCCTATAGCCAGGCCTGCAGCCCTGCTTGAATTCTCCCGTGTTGCGTTCGGGTTCCCCGTTTTTGACCTATGGGACAGTCCTCAAAGACAGTTTGGCAAGCAAGGTCTTGTGGACCGGATTCTGGCCTTGACCCAGGTTCAAGGCCTGATTCCGATTCAAGGCCTGGTTCCGGACCATACCTTCCGCTATCTTAAATTCCTGCAGCTCATGAAAGAGAGTAAATCCACCCTTGTCCCGACGCTCGACATCGATCTCCTCTGGCACACTCACCAGCTCTCACCAGTCGCGTATGGCAAGTACTGTGAGACACACGTGGGGCGACGGGTTAACCACGTCGATACCATCCACACGGCAAAGCGCTCCTCGGGGAGGAGGATACGGCGGGCCTCTGGGCAATACGATACGGCGAGTCCTACTTTGACCCGGAAAATACGGCCAAGAATACCGAGATCGAACGACGTAAAGCTGCGTGTAAGCAGAAGCGGGAGGCCATAGGAACCAAACTGGCCGCGTATGACCACAGCCACCAATATATAAAGAAAGAGCTCGACGAGGCAAGTGACCGTCTCGTAGCCAAGCACGTCAGCCTATACAAAACACAAACGGCGGTGAGCGAGCTCAACGCGGCGGTAGCGGACGTAGAAACAGCGAAAGAGTCCGTCAAGCCGGCACTGCGGCTACTCAAACTGCGTTACTACCGCCGGTTGCAAAGGCAGCAGCTGCAGGAGCTGGAAGATAAACGCCGATCGCTGGCGGAGGAGTATATACACAAGCTGCACGAGGTGGTGACTCTCAGGCTCGAATATAAGGTGGCGGGGGATCAGGAGTTCCACTACAAGAAGGAATGGAAGGAGGCACAGAATGCGAGGCGGCTCCTGGAGCAGCGGCTCACGGCCGAGGTGACCTTAGCGACAGAGGCGATCGGGCAGTTCAATGTCGACGGCGGGGATAGCCACGATGATCAGCAGCAGCAATACCAGGAGGACCGGTATGACGGGTCGTGGTGCTCGATCGTGCCGTCAGAGGTGCAGCCCTGTGTGCATCCCATTGTAGATACGGCGGACGGTGGGAGGGCGTACCTACAGACGTGGGCGGATACCTATAAGCCAACGCGTAGCTACGCAGGGTATTCTGGGGGAGGAGGAGGGGGGAGGAGGAGGGTTTGGTGGAGGAGAAGGGTGCGGTGGAGGAGGAGGGTGCGGAGGAGGAGGAGGAGGAGGGTGCGGAGGAGGAGGAGGAGGGAGGAGGAGGAGGAGGAGGAGGAGGAGGAGGAGGAGGAGGAGGAGGGAGGAGGCGGCGGCGGCGGCGGATGCGGCGGAGGAGGAGGAGGGATGCGGCGGAGGATGCGGCGGTGGCTAACCCAGGCATAGCAATAGTATAGCAACCTAATCCAGACCATTTCGAGGTCTATAGTGCGAGGGTATCTTTATTAAGATCCTCTTGTTTCTCGGTATGCTGAGGGTTATCTAACTCTATTAGATCAGTGATGATTACCTCTTTATCCCACTCAATCTTTTTCTCTGCTGTTCTTTGAGGGTTAGAAGCTGTTAGTACAAAAAGTTCGCGAACTTCGAATCGAATCTGGCAGAAGTTCGATTCGTTTCGATTCGTGCGGAGCGGTAGTTCTCGCGTGTCCGCACCGCAAGGATAAAACGAACAGCAATCGCGCGACTCGGGTGGTCAACCAGCAAGGTCTCACCCTTTATTAATGACGCTTACCATCTTCTCACCCTAGGTCGCGCGACCATCAAGCGGTCTCCGGGTTTTTCTCCACCGGGTTAGACGGAGCAATTGGTATGCATTGGCATTTGACGTGCGGCTTAAGTACGGGTGAGCGGACGGGGAGCCCTGTTCTCCACACCCTACGGTCGTATGTACCAGATATTCCCAAAAACAAGGATATATGGCATGAAACTTGAAGATCTTCCAACTTACTCTCAGCACCTCCATCTCCATCCGCTGAGCATTTGAATCAGCGAAATAATTGGGAATCCTGTGAGTCCTGGGGATACTAGGACACCCCAAGGCGGTACCCAAATCGAGGCATATAATTTGCCAGATTCCCAGCCTCCGGCATAACCCTGTTCAGAACTTGAAGAGGTGCTAGTAGTATCCATCCAATCCCTGGCATTATATATCTGCAAGCATGCGGCTGAGAGAACTCCGTCACACCGTGACCGGTGTGGCAGGTCCGGGTCGTCCACTCCAGGGCTGGCAACCCCGCATCTCACGATTACTACCTCCAGTCTCACTCTTCTCCGAATTTACTGAGTCTCCAGGGCTCCCTTCACGATACTCCGTCCAATCCGAGTCCCTTCTACGTTGAACGCCCACTGTCAATTCAAGTTTATTGCAAAAGTTCGGCCACAAAAGAATTTGGAAGTTTCAAGTTCCAAGGTTCCAAGTCTGCCCAGGTGAAAACGCTACAATGCCCAACCAACACGCTGAAGACGAAGCACTCGGGGTGAGATCAGTGGAACCACCGCAGAGATACTCAGTATTCACCAATGTCGAGAAATGGTGCATTGTCGCCATGGTTTCATATGCTGCCTGGTTCTCGACACTGAGCAGCTTTATCTATTACCCGGCAATACCCGCGATCTCGAAGGCGCTGGGTGTGTCAGTAGACAAAGTCAACCTGACAATTACAACGTACATGGCAATTGCCAGTGTCGCACCAGCTTTGGTGGGAGACACGGCCGACATTCTAGGCCGGCGTCCAGTGTACATACTGACACTAAGTGGATATTTCGCTGCCAACTTCGCCATCGCACTGACCAGATCATATGAGGCGCTTCTGGGCCTTCGCGTTCTGCAGGCATTGTGCATTTCCGGTAATGTCTTATTACAAATGCATCTTCCGAAACTGAATCTAATTATTTTCCCCCTGACTAGGCACCTTCTCAATTGCCTATGGAGTTGTCACGGATTTAGCAGCCCCCGCTGAAAGGGGATCATTTGCTGCTCTTGTTTCGTTTGCGTACGCTTCCATCGCTTGAAAATATTTGACTTTGAGCACACTAATTGACATTGAACCTAGCATAACAATTGCTCCAAGCATTGGCCCTATTCTAGGGGGAGTATTAACCTACGCTGCAGGCTGGCCCTGGATTTTTTGGTTTCTGTGCCTCGCATCGGGGAGCTGTCTAGTAATTATGACACTCTTCCTCCCTGAGACAGCTCGCCATGTCGTCGGCGATGGCTCGATTCCACCGCCACATTATCTTCGACTCCCGATTCCGACAATCCTATGCCACTGGAAAGAGACAGAAATGGATTCAGATATAACGACCAGATCATTCCGCGCTCCTAATCCCTTCAAATCAATTGCCATCCTCTGCCACAAAGATAATGCGGTCGTTATTTTCGCATGTGGCCTTTTGTACGTTGTCTACACCTGCATTAATGCATCCCTTGCTACGCTGCTTGTCGAAATCTACCATTTAAATCAGTGGGAAGCCGGGCTCATCTATCTTCCTTTCGGTCTTGGCGGAGTTGCATCTGCATTCATTTCCGGGAGGGTTTTGGATCGTGCGTGGCGAAATACCAGGGTCAAGATGGGCATGGGCACGAACGCATTGATCAGCGATGATCTAGACACATTTCCAGTTGAAAGGGCTCGTCTTTGCGTGATATGGGTGCCCATGTTTCTTACAGTTTGCTCCGTGATTGCATTTGGCTGGACTTTGCATAACCACTTGGTGAGTGTGATGACTTATTTTCCGATGTATCGACCTAGAGATTGCCACAAGGCAGTATATATACGGTGTGGCTTATGAATGAGCTATGTACTTTTCTGGCAATGAAATGGGCGTCCAGGCTAACAAAAATTTGTGTCTAAGCATATTGCTATTCCCCTGGCTTTTCAATTTGTTGCAGGACTTTGCATGCAATTGGATTTTAGCGTGAGTTTTCTTAAGTCTACAGATATTTCTTATAATACCCACACAGAGAGAGTTTGAACCCACCTGGACAAAGAGTGACGGAGAAACCTTGAAAATCACCTGCGCATCCGTCCCTCAGAAATAATATTCAAGTTGCTAACGTCTCTATCACCACGAAGATATACAACACACTTCTGGTGGATAAAAATCATCGATCCCCTTCCGCTGCTCAGGCCTCAAGCAATATTGTCCGCTGTACTCTGGCAGCCTTCACAGTGTCCTTTCTACAGCGATTGATAGTGAACATTGGTATTGGATGGACATTCACTTTTATGGGTGGACTGTGCTTATTGGCTATGGGCCTCTTTGCCGTTGACTACCACAAGGGTGCATCGTGGCGAGAGTCGCGCCTACCTCGTATTGAGATATAGGTGTCACCATGGCCTTCTGCTGGATCGTGAAACAGCGTTCTCAGCTCCACACGGAACGCTGTGGAATTTGGTAACCCATCAACAGGCCGATTGGAAACAGGCTCTTTTTGAAACTAGCACGGAAAACGAAGCGTATTGAGGAATTAGGAAGCTTGGATGGATGCAGAGGTATTGAAGATTAAAATTTAAGTATCAAGTCAGACCGACGGATTTGACCACTGCAATCTCTCCGTTTCTCGGAGAAAGGAGAGCACTTTCGCTTGTCCAAATGCTACACAAAGCTACACAATCCCGACTTATCCAGTCCCCGGGGAGGGAAAATATTTCTCTAGTTTGGTGATGAGATCGAGGACTGCTGGCATCGCTTGAAGATCTGGACATAGAAACTGCGTGATGAGATGGTTGGAGTTGTTCATTCCGGTTGAGGCCAAACGGTATTTTCGACCAACAGATAGAGTATGCCTTTGAGAGAAAGACAAGACGATCGTGTGAAAGAAAGCCGAGGGACAAAGCGATCTCAGATGCGAATGTCTTTGGAAGAACGGCAGCGGATATGCCCTTATGATTCTCGGAGTATGAATCTGGAGTATTTGAAATGAAAGATGTCGCGAAGTGAAAGAACATTTTGTCTTTAAGTCCTTCGCCCACAGACATCTGAACAAAGATTTGGCGTTTGTCCTGGGTTACACGTACGTGATCGACCTCGCTAGTATATGAGCCTGCCTCCAGCATAGACGAAAGATCCTCCGTAGATTGAAACTGAAGGTCGTAGGTTGATTTCTGGTTCAAGCTCCAGTCACAAATGGTGACTGATTTCGGTCCAACCCCCACAATGCGAGATGTGTCTTGAGGATGGATAATCCATTTATACGCATCATTCAAGTCTTGCAGATGATACTCCACAGCGCCTGACAGTGACGAAATGATATGCAAAGTCGATGGCGTCGACACTAGAAGATGACTTGAGTCGGGTCCGAATAGGAGTTGCATGATGGGCCCATCTGTATCACCTTCCATTGATCTTTCAATCAACCGCTCAACAGCGGATTCGGATATCTGCAGGGAGATCAACGCGATAAAAATATTCTGGCTTGAATCGGAGAAGGCAATGCATCGACCATTGGGGCTCCATGTCATTTGCTCGATTCCCAGGAACAAAGTGGAATCCTGAATATCGAAGAGCTTCCCACGTTGGAGATCAAACAGTTGAACGGCTCCATACTCCGTCCCACTGCAGTAAAGCCGGCCAAGTGGCGATGCAGCCAAGGAGGTAACTGAGTCAACCCTCCGTGATGCACCCATGGAAACCGTGGAGCTCTGACCGAAGCTGGCGCTGTCGCCGTCACCATCCAGCGATCTTTCCAGTCGTTCTTCATACCGCATTAATGCGTTAGGCTCCCATACTGTCCCATAGTCACCACGAACGTCATAAAGGCGATGGATGTTTGGGCTGAACTCCAAATCAATAACAGCATCCTGGGACGCCAGCTGATACAAGAGCCGGAACTCTGACGTAGTGTAGACTTTGATCGTTCCCTGGACATCGCCAGTGGCAAACAAATTTCCGTCCCTGCTGATTGCCAAGGTGGTAGCGCCTGTTCCGATTTCCTCGAGGTTTCCCTCATAAGGGTCCCATTTAAAGACGACACCTTCAATATAGAGACCTAAAAGCTGTGGGTAATGCGGATGCCAGACTGCCTCCATGACCTCACCCCTTGCCACTTGACCTCTGGCCCGCCAGCAATGGTCGATATGAATTGGTCCATCAATCTCCCATGCCGAGAGTGGATGGCCTCTATATGCGACGGCTATCAGGCTACCTTCGTTATTGATGGCCATGTAGCTAGAAGCGTTGAGAAAATTGCCCTCTAACTGAGGCTCATCGAGCTTCGCAATAATTTGCCATTCAGGAGCCGCATCATGCAAGTCCAGCGATCGAATTCGGCGATCATCCGAACCCACCAAAAGTAACCTGTCGTTCTGCACGAAGATTATAGCAAGTGGTCTTGGTCGGGATTCGAGATTTGCGATGGATAGTTTGCAGGCGCCTGTTGATGTCTCCCACACTTTCACAGACTTGAAGCCGTAGGTCACCAGTAGACTTCCCGCTCCGTTCATTACCATTCGATACACCCGTTCTCCATGTATGATCGGACTTGTAGCTGCTTCCTCGAAATCCGAGGAGTTGTAGATGAATACATTCCCCGGCGGGGCAAGGACGGCAATTTGAGACCCGGCTGCAAGTATAGACGATGCATTGGTGCCAATGCCGAAGGAAAGACGGGAAAGTGAGTCATCCCAATTTTGTGTGGAAAGACCCAGTACGGCTAGGCTTTTGTGCTCTGACTTCCCAAACTGCTGATAAATGGCCGAGTTGCGAGGGCAGAAAGGAGGAACGAGTTTGTAGATAGCTTCGGGGTTGCGCCGCAGGTTGGTAGCGAACTTACCGGCAATTTTCATAAAGTCCACTGCCCAACTTTCAAGGAACTGGTGCTCAACCATGTGTGTGACATCGCTGGATCCTTCGACGCTAACATTTTGACTTGCAGTGGCGTATTTCGATAAGCACTTCGACGCTCGAATAAGAATCCTCAGCTTCCTTGTCACGACAAGAGCGTGGATCCAGACCAAGACCCAATGACTCGTTAGAAATCTCCTGACGATGATCTGGACATTTTCATTAGGGGTAGTGATCGAGGCCAAATGGGATGACCACCAGGTGGCACTGTATTCGACAAACTCTGGCATTTCGTTCCGGGTGATCCGAGCGCGAATACCGGTTGACATGAGACATCTCATACAGCTCAAAAACAGTTGTTCGTGAGCAGCATCACGATTGATAACGGAAGGACCATCTTCGACGTTGAGGAGGTATTCGCGTGCGGAGTGATGAAGCATACTAACTTTGCCGCTGTTGTCGACGATCACGAATCCACCGCAAAGCTCTCCGATGGATTGTTGAAGATCCAACATATCGGTGTGATCTTTGTTCAATGCCTGGTACAGTTCGGCAACATTCAGAACTCGCGAAGAACAAGTGACACATTGTAGAATGGTTAACGCGAGATTGCGACCAGACCGTGAAGGGTTCTGCGTAATAGACTTTGCCATCCGGCTGTACAACGCTTCCATCCCCCGAGGGAGCTCGTTGAAAGCTCGATCAACATCAGAGAGTGTATGGCATAGGTTCAGTCGTTCAACCGCCAGTCGAAGCCACTGAATATATACTATATATTAGCAGAGGGCGATAAAAATATCCTGAAGTCGCCCGGCCGTTCCATGGAAGTCTTCATTGCTGTTCGAACTCACCAGAAAATTTCGTTGTGCACCTTCTACTAACCGTCGGATAACCACTTTTCTAAGATCCGCACCACCAGACATACTGAGCTCTTGCTCAATATGGGCATAAATATCATCTTGATGTCCCTCGATACATATCTGGGCTTGGTCCACGCTTGACGGTAGTTTTCTCAGTGCAGTCGTGATTTCTGAGGTGCTTCGGCCCAGGAGAAGAATTCGAATCGGGAACTTTGATAGGTGAATATCGGAAAATAGCTTGATAGCTGCACGAGCATCAATAGACTCATCTAGCCCATCAATTATCCAGAAAATCGGTTCTTCACAGGAAGTATTGAACAGAACCGACTTGAATACACGTTCCCAAATTGTCTTCGGGTCTGCGCCTTCAAGATCGAAACCTTGATCAGCAATGCCGGAGAGCCCTTCGTGAAAACCCGGTATCTTCTGGGCGATCTGATAGGCGATAGATCGTAGTAGAAGGCTGAGAGTACGCTTCTTTTTGTCCCCGTATCGGATATAGAAATATTGACATAATCTCCCCTGCTGGACGCATCCGTCAATGATGAAGGATGACAGAACGGACTTTCCAGTCCCCGCCCCGCCGCTGACCCAGAGCACCCCGGATGTTGATCGCTCGGGATTGATCCATTCTTTGTAGGCTGTTTCATCCAAAAACCAGAGATTGGTGCCTTGTGTCCATTGGTCTTTGAAAAATATGTAATCCACATCTGGTAATTCGGGGATAGCTAATATTGACTTCAAATCAACTGACTTTCTCCTGTCAGAGTTGTCTGGCTGGGCCTTCTGTGCTGCCAGTATTATTTTATCGACAATTGACTTCAGTACATTTCTGACAGTGATGTAATTCGGATCGAGGGGACTTTCGTATTTGCAAATATTATGGTGGTCCGCGCTGATTGCCTTTGACGTTTCCCCGGGATAGCCGAGCACAGATGAGTCCTTCTCCAATATCATCTGAGCAGATAAGTGGATCGATTAGCCTCAAAAAACAAGTCACTTATGTAGAAATCTGAGTCATTTATCATTTATTCACTCACAACTCGAGCCCCCTTGAATCCAATCGAGGTGGCCTGTGTCTCATAGAAAGATACGATATCAAGTTTTGGGGCGACATGTCGGAACTGCTCATTAAGCTTTTGCAGAGTGAACGAATCTGTGGACAACTCAGAAATGTATTTCTTCGGGGTGCTGACAAGAGTAGTCTGGAGGATTCGATTGAGAATGTCTGCTAGATTGGTGCCGCGGTGCGGAGTGGCAAGAAAGAGGATTGCTGAGATAGCCGAGATGATTTTCTTGTATCCCGGGTCATTCAGACCCTGCATATATGCCTGTTGTTGGTGAGAATTTGTTGCATCTTAAGCTTGGTTCTTAATACAGAAAAGGGGGCTTTCTTAAATTCTCACCTCCTTGGCGATCAAACCTCCCATACTATGTACCACGAAGAGAAGTGGCACCTAGAAGTTTGAAGTGACGGTTAGTTTCATTCTTGTGAGTTTTGGCCGGGGTGACAACTCACAGAGCCCATTCGCAGATCATCGTTCCGTTCATCCTTTGCAAATTTCAGATCAAATAGTAGCTCTTTAGCGAAATCCAGGACAACCGTGCTCGCATTCCCTGATTTGCGGAAGTTTGCATTGTACCCGAAACTGAGAATCCTCGCTCGGCAGAGAACTGACTCTAGTGGAAGAAATGTGAGAGGCCAAAAAAGATCAGATTCCTTGTTCTTCGACCACGTCCATCTGCTGCTCCCTCCCAGTCCATGTATGAAGACGATGTCTACTTTGCGTTCGGTTTCTGGCGAATATACCACATTGAGACCCAATGGACCGGGTCCAGATTCGTTTGCTGCCGAGGCAGAGATTTCTGGCTGTTGAGACTGAGCGGAAGGAGATCTATCTGACCTTGAATCGCTCGCTCGCCTTTGGTGTGATTCGCCTGGTGACAAGGAGTGAGCGGCTTCGTCACGGTCCGACCGGCCACCCCGGCTGTTTTTGCTTCGGAGGCTGAAGCTTTTTGAAAACTGCAGGACTTCAGAATCATGATGGAAGAAAAATATAAGTAAAGTTAGATCAAGGCGAGTTTTACCATGTTCTATTCCCCAAACAGAAGTACGGGGTACATAGATCTCAGCTGCCGTTCATGGCGGAAGCAAGGGGTATCGAGAACGCCAGCCTTGGTGGGAGGTCAGCAGCAACAGAGGCGCAGACACGTTTTCGAGTCCGTATCATCATGGGGCTCTTCTGAGCGGAACCCCGCTTTCCGACGCCCAAAGGAAGATGGGATTTGCGGCTGCACTGGCGACCAGTTCATACTGACCCAGGTGAATCTTGCTGCACGCCAAGTGTGATTAAATGGGAAGCGCACGAATCATGGGCGATGATCCCGTTGACTGATGCACCTAGGCCCGTGACATTAACGCCATTATGCGGTAAGACTCCGGGAACCCCTGTACAGAGTGCACAGGTCGGCGTCATCACCACATACATGAGCTCGCCGTCGCCAGTAAAACTCAGGATCTGGGCTGAAGGGCGAGGTTGGCGGACGGGGCGGGAAGCTTGCCTATCCAGTCGTGAATCCCTTTTAATACACAGCTCCTGCACATGTTAGTCATCTGGTACAAACGTGCACCGAATTATTTCTGAGTCTCGCAGCTTAAATCGAATTTGCTAATACCCTCTTTTATCTCCGCTTAGGCTACCCCGCTCATAAGTTCCCTCGAAGCCGTGAGGCATGAAGAGAATCATCTCCAACTGACCGCAGTATTGTCAAACGACGAGTCTCTGCCGATTTTTGAAACATTTAGGCGTTTTTGTTCGACTCGCTGTACTACGACAATTTCAATATCAGCTCATGATGTCTGATGAATGGGTCCCTGGGGTTGAAGGAAACTTCCCCTTGCACAAGGCCGTTCTGGATGGTAAACTTCCAGGGCAGTATCAAAGCAGTATAAAATCAGAGCCTTGCTGACATGAACGACCTATCTACTAGCTATGTCTAGAGGCGTGAAGCCTCTTTCTGCGGAGACCCACGGTACATCCTCATGGTCAAAGACTGCAAAGGTCATGGTTCGCCTGTCAGATGGAAGTAGCAAGACGTATTTTCTGAAGGTCAAATCTCATTCCCTCAAGAACACTTTACTACAGTTTTCTGATAATTTTAAAATCTCGCAGTGCTCATCAGGACGGGCAGCCCACACAATGACGAAAGGGGAATTTCACTCCGCTCTTGCTGTTCGTGGAGTGGTCTCAGACTTTGTACCGAAGCCAGTCGCTTGGGGGAGAATATCAAGATGGTCACACCCAGGTGTATTTCTATCTTGCAGACTTTCATGACATGGACCTGCGAGCTGCACCAGACCCAAGGACATTCACCACGAAAGTTGCACAGCTTCATTCCAAAGGCAAGTCCCCAAATGGAAAGTTTGGTTTTCACGTCCCAACAGTCCTTGGTATTTTTGAGCGCACTGTGAAATGGGAATCAAGCTGGGCGCAATGCTTCACAAACCAGCTTTGCGACGTCATGAAATACGACAATGAAACGAATGGGCATTGGCCCCAATTTGAAGCCGCCTGCAATCAGATCATCAACGCAGTGATTCCAAGACTTTTGGGTGTTTTACAGTCGGATGGTCGCACCATCGAGCCTGTTTTGATCCATGGTAGCTTATGGGAACAGAACATGGGAATAGATATGGAAACAGGTGAGACGATCGTTTTTGACGCAGGCTGCACCTATGCCCACAACGAAATGGAATTCGGAACATGGCGTGGCACATGGGCCTACCACTTTCAGAAACCCATATACATGCGTCTCTACCATCAGCATATCCAGCCCTCGGCACCGAAGAATGAATGGGACGATCGAAATAGACTCTACAGTCTACACCCTTACCTCAATGACTCGGCAGGTCATCCAGGGAGCATTTCAAGGTTAATGTCAGTATTGTACCTTTACATATGCACTGCCACCAGGTTGTTCTATATGTCATATTAACAAATCCTTCTCAGAGCCTACAACGACATGCTTTTTCTCTGTGAAAAATATGCCCCCCCTTGCTACCCTTGAAAAGTATAAGCCTGAGAGAGACACGAAATTCACAGGGGCTCACGTACTCGACTCGACTCATACTACATTGAACGAGGCAAGGCTCCAAGATGGCAGCCATCACTGAATAACGCGGGGGAAAATTAAACTTCCGAGCGCACATGTTCACCTGCCACCTAGTACACGTGGAAGCTTTCATTTTGCTTCAAGTTGATGAGAGCTTATCTCAGTTTTTGAAGAGCCAAAACGGCTACAGCTCTCATGATGCTATAGGCTGCGGCGACTCTGTCTTCAGGTCGCCCAAGCTTCCCACCGCACTACAAGTATATGTAGTAGCATATTGCAATTCCTCTCCACAAGTACTACCCATCTCAATACTAGTAATGGCCTTAGAACATCTTTGGCCATCATAAAGTTCCTCAACCTGGTGACATCTTCAACAAACGTAGCGCCATACTCTCTCATCATCTGTATCTTCTCCTCCATATTCATCGCTAAACTCATTCTCCCGAAATCTTCTGGAAGTTGCCTCGGACTCTCATATCTCAACACCCACACACCTACTCCATCTATCGGCCAACCAAACACTATCATTTTTTTTTTCTTCCTCTGTCATCTCTCTCGCACCTAGCAACACTTCTACCTTATCCCACCTACTCGACCACCACTTAGCACCAGTCCGTCGCAAGAGATGACAGAATATATCTTCTTTATCGACATCGGCAGAACGCTGCAACTCATAAGAGCGGGGGAGTGATAGGAAGATCATATCTAGAAGATCCGCATCTTTGATGAGAACCCCACCAGTGGAGGGATAGCCGTAGATCGTGCATCCCCTGGCGCTGAACTCGGTTCGTTTAGTTGTCGGCAGAGGAGGGGATGTGTGGCATGAGATGCGCCGTAATTCGGGGTCGTCCACTACTGGCCGATGATAAAAAATATTGTGGTCAACGTCGATGGGAAGTAAGCGGCCAACTAATCGATAGTTATAGGTCATGGCGGCGATGGAGATGAGTGCAAAGAGGACAAGGCCAATCTTGGATAGGACGTGAGTTGACATCGGAACTTGAAGCTCATGAGCGCGCTCTCGGGTTCATGTAGATGATGGTTTCAACAAGGGCTGGTATATGTAGGAATTGAGGTTGGGAGATGCTGCCTTCGGCTGATGGGGCAGGAGTTTTGACATATAAGTATTGGTGTCCTTGGCGTTACTGAAGGTCTATGCAATCAGGGTTTATGAACTTCGTCGCTACCTAGAGCAGTGTCCAAGAGGCTCTAGTCGCGGGGCTAGTTGAATTGGGAGGAGCCTACGACAAACTAGCAAGGATGAGGAATGGTTGACATTTCGATTTGGGGCGAAGAGTTGCCGATTTGATGGGAGTAGACGGAAAAAGAGGAACTCGTTTAGGTAGAAACCGAGTCTAGAGGGTATTCCGCAGCATGTATTTATGTACCAAGTGAACTCCACGGGCCTCTTAGTGTACATAATTGAAGCCAACCGATCCTGACTTCTTGCACCGATCCATCCCGCTGGTGCCTGTTCATGAATTCACCACATGTTACTACCTAACTCTAGATGGAATAATCATCGTTGAAACTCATTGAATGACACAACACTCCGAGGAAGCACATGATGTCAATAATTTCAAATGAAAATCAAAACTCCCGGGATGTGCCCGCTTCATTTACCAACTTGCTATCAAATGCTATAACGATCAAATGGTATAGCGAAAAGCCTTATCCTCGACATCGGTACGATCCGAGTCCACAGAAACCCCCATCTGACCACTGCGACCATTCCCCTCGACCCTATACTCAAACAGACCCTGATCCGCCTTGCGATCACGAGCCTTATTCTTAGCCTTGACGATGAATACATAGATCGCAAAGACCAGAATCAAGCAAACCATCGCCGCAATACTCAAGATACACCCCTTCGTATAACGAGGTGCATCATCCTCAGTCCAGGCCTGAGGACTAACGATGCACCCAACGCAGTACGCGATAAAGAACGCCGCCGACACAATACTTCTCTTCGTGTTTCCCTTCACGTTACTTGCGATAATACTCGCTGCACTGCTTAACAAGGCAGAGCTACATCCACCAAGCCAGGTCGCAATCACAATTCCCCATTCCGCACCTTCGGCGGGTAGGGTCATGAGTAATAATGCCCCTAAAAGGGGTACAAAGCAAAGCCCAATGGCCGTGTATGCTCGAGTACCTGGGAGGAAACGAGGGACAAGGGCGCTGATCCAGGTTGTGATGAAGTTGAAAGCACCAGCAGGGGTTCCGATGAGCATTGTCTTGAAGGTAGAGTATCCGAATCCGTGTATGACAGTGGAACTGAACTAAGTTGATTCAAAACAAATAAGATATGTTAGCCACTGGCAATCAAGATCATGATAAGACTGGGTCCTAGGAAGAACTGCAATATACCTTCATTATCGGGGTCGTGAGAGTGATACAAACGCCCATCAAGCAATAAAGCCACATCATAGGCGACAGAAGCGCCTCTCTGACCTGGGCTTTATTGAATTGTGCACGGTCTCGGGTTGCGCGATCGATAGCCATGCGCTGAGCTGCTATCTCGCGTTCACGAGGATTCAAAAACCAACAGCTTTTGGCGTCTCCGGGCATCAGGAAGATGAACAGGAGACCGGTGGCACAGGTTAAACCGCCGCAAATCAAGAATAGAGTGCGCCATGGAGCCAAAGGGAAATTCCCTTGTCCAATACCATACATAATGAGTGCACCTATGATCTGGGATATACCATTCATTGAAACCCACGTAGCGACTCGGATCGGGTGTTCGTCGCGTTTGTACCAGATACTCGTGATTATAATGAATGCCGGCGAGACAGTCCCTGGTCAAATATTAGACCCAGGCTGCTAATACACCCTCCGAGACTGAGGGTAAGTAAGTATCATACCTTTGGAGAATCCCAAGAAAAACCGTGCAGCTGCTAGGCCGGAGAAAGTCTGGACAGCGGCGAGACACATATTAACACCGCCCCAAAGGACGATGGTCACTCCAACATAGATAGTAATGGGAAGTCTAGAGAGCAAAATTGCAGCTGGGTACTCCGAGCAGAGCTGGCCTAAATAGAAGAGTGAAACAGCCCATGAATACTCTTCGCCTGATAATTTGAGGTCATCGCGAAGTCCGAATATAGCGGCTTGGTTGATAGCCTGCTTGTCAAGGTCTAAATAGACGATTTAGAACGATTATAAAAATCTGCCCATGGGTCCAACAGTGTTGACTAACATTGGAAGAAGTAGACCAATGCCATCAGAGGCATGATTACACAGTCAAGTTTTGTAACCACCTTTCTCTCTTCGGTAGAGTCAATCACGTAGGATTGTACATCGTCGACACTCTCAAACTCCTGGAAGTCAGTGTTGATTTGATCCTCAATGGGTTTATTGAGCCTAGAGTCTGTATTAGACTGGGACATATTGCGTTCGAAGGCAGAAAGAGACAATGCGTATATGCTATAGCGGACCCTAGGAGAATAGGAATGCAAAGCCGGATTACCTTACAGCTGTACAACTAGGAAAAGGACTTAAATAGTAACCCCCCCACAGTTCGGCAAAGGTCAATGGGAGGTACATTATTTGCCCCGTGGGGTATACGGGACATACCGGTGGAGCAATGGCAACATTTTCTCCGCATTTTCAACCGGTAACCGAGAAAGCCAATTGGAAAGATCCCTAAATAGCTGATAAAGGCTGTGAGACCCGGTATTCATGGGGGCGGGGGTCTATCATATCGGCAAAATGGGGGGGCTTGGTATCGGCGAGATGACACGATGCCGATATAATGCATATTCAGTACTTCGCTTCCAAGAAGACCGACTAGACTAGTGTATTCTCCTGTTTGCGGGGTAGCCATTAGCGATTCATGGAATATTCCGCTTTAAAAGGCTGACTTTGCTATCACCAGAAACTCAATGCCCAGAAAGCGTCTCGATCTCACGCCACGCCGGAGTCATGTTTATGATAAGACCATTCCATCGCAGCACATGGACTGCCCAATTCCTGTTGAAGCCAGGTCCTTCTCAAGTTCGATTGTCCAGCTCATACAATGCAAGAAAAAACAATCATTCCTTACCTAATTCTTCCTCCCCCTTGCTCAATAAATCATACAAGGGTTTATCAAACCCGTCTGCATTCTTACTTTCGGCCTTCGCCGCCATATTAGGCTACGGTGCAGCAAATTTTGTCACTACTACTAGTAGTAGTGCTCAGGCTACTACCGATTCTAGCGCCATACTAGATATTGGTAGACTACCAGACGTCAAGTATGCAACAATGAGTGACATGGAAAAGGTAGGTACCTATATTGCTCGGAGCTAGTTTGCAAGTGTGTGTCGGACCCATTCTGATTTTACCTACTTACTTTTATCTATCTATCTCTATCTATAGGGTATTGCCGCAATTTGTCACCAGCTAAAAGACGCAGACATAATATCCACCGACTCAGAAGATCTTCTAGCACACGGGTATTCGGAGTGGTCATCAGTGAATGTAGAAACATTACCCGTGGCCGTTGCCTACCCGAAAGACACAGAGCAAGTTCGCACCATTGCTCGGATCTGTCACAAATGGCGGATACCCATTATCCCCTTCAGTGGGGGGAGCAGCGTGGAAGGGCATATATCAGCACCTTTTGGCGGAATTAGTCTTGACTTTACTTTTATGGATAAAGTTGTTCGGGTTAATGAGGATGATATGGATGTCGTTGTGCAGCCGGGCGTGTGTTGGTCGGATTTGAATCGGGAGTTGGAGGGGATGGGGAGTGGGCTTTTTTTCCCTATTGATCCTGGTGAGTTTCAAGATCGAGATCCTTGATCGAAACGAAAAAGGGAAAGAGAAGAATAAAAGAAGAAGAAAGTGCTAACATAACGTCTCAGCTCCAATCGCAAAAATAGGTGGAATGATCGGCACAAACTGCTCCGGAACAAACGCCGTCCGCTACGGCACAATGAAAGACTGGGTCATAAATCTAACAATTGTGTTAGCAGACGGCTCCATCATAAAAACGCGTCGACGCCCCCGCAAATGCTCAGCCGGGTATAACCTGAACGGCATACTAGTCGGATCCGAAGGCACGCTTGGAATCGTGACCGAGGCAACACTCAAGCTCGCGGTCCGGCCGCAGCATTACTCTGTTGCCGTCGTGCCATTCAATGATCTGACTAGTGCTGTGTCCGCTGCTGCAGACGTCATTCGAAGTGGTGTGCCTGTAGCGGCACTGGAACTTATGGACGAGGCGCAGATGAGGGTTGTTAATGACGGAGGAGTCACTCGACCACGGATCTGGCAAGAAGTGCCGACTCTATTCGTTAAGTTCTCTGGCACGGCGGCGTCTGTTGAGGATAATATTGACAGTGTGAGGGAGATTGTCCGGGCGTATGAGCCGGGTGAGTTCGAGTTTGCTCAGGATGAGAAGGAGCGGGAACTTTTGTGGTCGGCGAGGAAAGAGTCTTTGTATTCGCTTCTGGCGATGAGGAAGGATGGTGAGATTATGTGTAAGCTGCCGAGACCCTTCCAAGTCTGGCCTGGCCTTGACTCCATGTTGGACTATGCTAATGGCTGCGGAATTAAGGGAACACCGACGTCGCCGTTCCCCTCAGTCATCTAGCAGAGATCGTACAAACCAGCAAAGAAGACGCAAAGAGACTTGACCTAAATGCTTGTATAAAGGGCCATATCGGAGACAGCAACTTCCATGAGAATATCACCTACGACCCTTCAAATCCCCAAGAGGTTGAAAATGTCAAACTTGCCGTGAAGAACATGATATCTCGCGCCCTGGAAATGGATGGCACTTGTACCGGTGAGCATGGAGTCGGGCTTGGGAAGAAAGCTGCACTTCTGTCTGAGGTTGGAAATGATACAATTATGGTGATGGTGAGTGGTGATTTGTGCGACATAAGAAACAGCATGATCCTGGCCAGTCTCATAGCCTGGGCACTGGCAGTCAAATCCATTTCTGACGAGTTCTGTCTACTCTACCAGCGTTTAATCAAAGGGGCCCTCGATCCTAATTGGATAATGTAAGTCTTTCCGAACCTTGAATTCTCAAGTTGATAATGGGCTGACTAGAATGACTAACTTATAAGGAACCCCGGGAAAGTGTTTGATCGCTAGGCCAATTCAGTGTCTGGCTTTACCTGTTGAGTGGGGACTTGTGATATCCATCATGGTCCATGGATGTTTTGCTCTCGCCCCTGGGCAGGGAGGAATGAGCAGTAGTTCCCTAGGGTAGACTCAGAACAGATTGAGAACGACCAACTAGCCTACCTACGCGTGATATTAGTCTTTGTTGCATTATATTCCAAAGTTATTCTGGCATTTCTTGCATAGGTATGGAGGAGTATATTCCATCGCCGAAGACCATTTCTCTTTTCAAGTCCTCTTTGCCGCGGTGTGAAATATCTCCAGTGTTAACTTGAGACTTCCAAGGTCGTCCAAGTCGGTTAAAGATTCCCGTGCCGCTCTTGCTGCCGGTCTATCAGTAGTTCATTACACTCCCACTCTGGCTTACGAGTAAATTGAAGATAACACAAATTGTCTCCGAAGGATCCATTGCATAGGTATATACAGGCGAAGACACAGAAATAAAGAAACAAAAAGTGAAACCAACCATCTTATTTACGCCGGAGGAGATTCCACAAACGAGGGAGAAATAGAATATGACAAGATGAATCAAAAGAAAATGAGAGCCAGCCAGCCAGATCGGGAGGGGCACTGCATACACTCCCCACTCCAAGCCAAGCCAAGCAAAGCACCGCAGTACCAATGAAGATGGCAAATAGTTAGAGGTCAAAAAAAAAGATGAAGAACAATGCTAGGTCATCACAGGGTCCATGTCCAAGGAGAAAAAGAATCCCGGACCAGAACAGAAGGGGGTCGTAACGATGCAGTAGCTGCCAAGAATGTATATGAGGGACGAGGGAAGAAAAAATGATTGAACACTTTTGTTTTTGTCTTTGTTCGCCTTTGCTTTTTACCGCTTCATATCCCAGTCCGGTTTCAGCGTGGCCATCAGATCATCCTTGGTGCCAACCATGTCAGGCGGGAGTCTGCTGACGCGGTAATTGCCCATGCGCACATTGTTTTGATGAATATTGGAAATACCGGTGCGGTTACTGCGGATACTACCTGAGTCACTGGCGGGGCCTCCCTCGTTCTTGAACCGCGGCGGCGGCGCAAAGTCCAGACTCGTGAAGGTGCCGGACTTGCGGAGCATGTGCGGGCTGGGAATAGCGGAAAGCTCGTCAAATGCTGATGCCAGCGGCGTGTGAGCACGCATGCCCGGGCTGAAAGGCCGCATGCCGCCGGTGGGAGTCTCGGATCGGCCGGCAGCTCGGTCTCTGATGGAGTTGGCGGGGGCAAACTCGTGGGCGAACATGTCGTCCTTGAGCATGTGGGGGGGTCGGGAGAACTTGCAGGGGGGCTGGGGGTGGCATTGGGCGGCGAGGAGCACGGGGACCGGCCCCGAATGCGCCAGAGGCAGATGAGAATGCCCGTGGGGAGGGCGTACCGTACCCACCGTACCCGCCGTACCCGCTGCCGGACGAATTGGTTGCCATGTGGCGAGCGGCTCCTTGGAAGCGAGGAGGGGCTCGAGGGGGAGGAGTCATGGCGCGACGGCCCATAGGCTGGGCGAATGGCATGGGTGGAGGTGCGCTGGTATCATAGTAGTCTCCGGTAGCTGGGTCGTAGGCGTAGGCACCGTCGTCGTAGTACTCGGCACCGTAGTCTTCATAGTAGGTTGTCTCCCGCTTGCTTTCATCAAAGTACTCCTTGTAGAAAGATCGGATACGGTTGGCACGCTGCTCGGGGTTGTCAGCCGGGTCCTCTGGTGGCAGAGGGCGGACACCGAGAGTCAAGCGGCGAGTATCCCGGTGGGCATCATGTGTGTCCAGGGTTTGCGGTATCTCCTCTGGAAGTTCCGGTAGCTTATTATCCTTTCCTGGTGTTTCTCCATGCGTCTCGGCACCGTGAACATTGACGGCAGGGATCATCAGGGATGATCTGCGCTCATGTCGGTCATCCCCATAGTCGCTCGTCACGTCACTAGACGGCAGAGAAATTCGGGGAAGTTGCATGGTCGAGGACTGAGCATGCTCTGCGTGGGGTTCTGGCAGAGGGAAGTTGGGGCGATCTTGATGAGTGTCATAAGAATGAGGGTCGGTATCAAAATTCAGACTGGCGGTATTCGAGTCGGGGTACGGGAGCGCCTGGCCTTGGCCACTCCCATGGCCGGCAGAAGCAGTTCCAATGGCTAGGCCACGTTCATCATGCTCTGAAGGAGTCGGGTTCAGACCAGGCACGGGGCCGAAACGGTCCTGAGGGGATTGGGCATGAGAACGAGTAGAAGAATCGGGCGAGGGGCTCTTATAGAGGGGAGGAGGCGAGGAGCGGGACATGCGCTGAGCGTTCTGCA